CCCCTGCAGGCATTGTAGGGCTGCGCCCAGCAGGAGCACTCGGAGGGCGCTCCACAAGACGCGAGAGCTGGGTGAGAAAAAATTAACCCGTAAAAACAAAGTTTTTCACTATAAATCCTTTATATGCGTGGCGGCTAGAGTCCTCTCGTCCTCTGGCTTGAGATGGCTGCCACCTATGGGTCAGATTATTGCATTGCACCATTAAGCAATTGGCAATTAAATATATTTTTGTCCTAAAAAGTGTAAAATTTGGAACTAAAATTTTCACGAACATTAATTGTCACGCACAACGAGTCTGTGTGGAAAATGTCAGTTCGATTGCATCACAGGAAGTGGGTTAAAAAACGACCGAAAGATTTGCACGGTCGTAAGCAAGCAAGCGAACTTAATATAAAGGATTTAATAAGTATAACCCGTAAAAACAAAGTTTTTCACTCTAAATCCTTTATATGCGTGGCGGCTAGAGTCCTCTCGTCCTCTGGCTTGAGATGGCTGCCACCTATGGGTCAGATGATTGTCTGCAGTATTAAACAATTGGTAATTAAATATTTAATTTGTTTTCCCTAAACAGTGTAAAATTTTGGAAAAAAAATTTCACGAACATTAATTGTCTCGCACAACGAGTCTGTGTGCAAAATGTCAGCTCTATTGGATCACGGGAAGTGGGTTAAAAAACGACCGAAAGGTTTGCACGGTCGTAAGCAAGCAAGCAAGCACGCAAGCAAGCGAACTTAATATAAGTATAACCAGTAAAAACAAAGTTTTTCACTATAAATCCTTTATATGCGTGGCGGCTAGAGTCCTCTCGTCCTCTGGCTTGAGATGGCTGCCACCTATGGGTCAGATGATTGTCTGCCAGTATTAAGCAATTGGTAATTAAATATTTAATTTGTTTTCCCTAAACAGTGTAAAAGTTTGGAAAAACATTTTCACGAACATTAATTGTCTCGCACAACGAGTCTGTGTGCAAAATGTCAGCTCGATTGGATCACGGGAAGTGGGTTAAAAAACGACCGAAAGATTTGCACGGTCGTAAGCAAGCAAGCACGCAAGCAAGCAAGCAAGCAAGCGAACTTAATCTAAAGGATTTAATAAAGGATTTAAAAATACGCGCTCCTGTTTGGGAAAGCGGACATTCGGTCCCGGTTATAGTCCGTGGATGCAGGCGGACTCGTCACTCCATCTGTGAAGGCATCGCAGCCACATCCCCGGGGCCGTGTTTCGTGTTCTAAAGGCAAGTTGACGATCGTCTACACGCTTTGCAAGTCACTAACGGGTTTGTGTGTGTGTGGCCCGATTGAGTGGTTCGGAGAGGGCTCCTTCCGCTGCCTTCCTCCGCTGCTGTGCCCACAGTCTAGAATTTCCTTCCTCTGACTGTCCGCACTGCTGAGGCTCTCATCGTGTTTAGGTCCAGGTGTGAGACCTTTAACGTATTCTGTTGCAAGTCTACCATAACATCGTCTCGACTCCCCTATTTGGCCTGCAGCATTCTTACTCTCCGTCCCTGCTTAACGTTGGGTGTTTTTAACCCCTCTCTTCTTCAAACGCCCGAGAAGTGCACGTCTTCCCTACAACCTCAAAGCGACTTGAGATGCGGTCCGCATTTGGTGGACGGTGTTTTAAACTTCACCCCGTCGCGTCTACGTCGCTGTCCAGACAGGCGTGGGTGCTGAAAGACAACAAATAATACGTGTCCCCCACAACGTGAACTCGCGTGAGTTGTTGTTCTTTGTGTGTGTACACGACTATGAACGCGCGGACCCTTACAGCTCTGGGTAAGGCAAGAGAGCGAGAGAGAGAGAGACAGAGAGACGCACTCCGACGGTCGATTGGCTCCAGGCGATGCTCGTTTCCGAAGGAGTCCAGAAACGCCCGCTGCTCGCTCTGTGAAATCCAAGGCGACCCAACCTGCACGGCTGAGCCCGGCGCTGCCAAATGTGACGCAGTGAAGGGATTCCTTTATTCCTCCTCCAACCCAGCCGCCCACCATCATCCCTCACTTATTTTCCCCTTGCAGTCAATATGCTGCCTCTAATTTCTGTTTGTTCCCCCGAGTCACGTGTTCGTATGTCTTTTCATTGTAAATCTCAGACGTGACATTGAAACACGTGATTAAATAGGACTTTTGTTTTATTGAATATTGAACTGCATATAATACGCAAAGATGATGGCGATTGGGTGAGTGACTGATCTTGTTAGAATAGCTGACGGGCTATTGTTAGAAGAGCTCCACAAAAAAAAAAGATTTCTCACAAATGACTTAGAAAACTCCAAAGTCGGCGTATTTGAAATTGCGTCCCCAAGATCCGATGACACGGGGCAACATTGGGTTCACTCACAGGGCAGGGTCAACCTACTTACAAGTCCTGCATAAGATTCACATCACCAGCGAACCAAGCAAGTACATTGTCTCACGTGAAGTGTGACACCAAAGCTGGTTGTAGAGCGGGTGAAGGTTACGAACTGGATACTGATGAAGCATAGAACACACGTACAGAAGTTAAACACGTGGGTCGACAGTGCAGCAGCGCATATACGAACAGCTGCATTGGGCATTGGCCAGCCACGCACATCCATTATTGCACTCTACTTATATGCTCCCACATCGATTATCCCCCACCTTTAACCAGCGTGGCGATGTATAATCAGTGTCCACTAACCACACCATGCGGGCTAAGGGGCCGTCCATAAATGACCTCACGCGATTTTGGACGATTTTTGACCCCCCCCCCCCCCATCGGCACACGGCTTCACAAAAAGTCAGACCCCCCTCAAATATGTTCTGCCCCCCCCCCCCCAAAATAAAACATGCTTCAAATCGCTTTAAACTATTGTCATTGTAGTGCGTATTTAATGTGGCGCTGCACTTATTTAAAGTTACGCATTTTGATGTGACCTCACATTTCTCAACCCCCCCCCCCTCGTCACAAATGTCTGACCTCCCCCCCCCCCTCTCAGGTGCGTGATGTCATTTATGGACGGCCCCTAAAATCATTATCCAGCAGTGGATTAACTAAAGGGCTGTACAGGCATACACGAATACAACTGCAGTACCTTGTAACATGGCACATTCATTTCATACGCCAGTGATTGTTCACCTTCACTGGTTCTCAATCGTAAAAAATGTACGTTCATAAATGCATAAGTTTGATTAAACAAAGTAGTTGTGTTTACACGGCCGTGCTGAATTTGTTTCGACGATTTCCCTTCTAAAAGAAATCTGCCCACGTCTCGCACGCCCACAAAGGGCATCTCGCTTCCCCCAAAGGTGTGTGCACTCCAGGTTAAGAACCACCGCTCTACGCATTGCTCCACGTCTTCCTTATGCACCACGGACGCACCATCTGAAGTGGTCCTGTTGTGTAAATTTTCCACACTTGTTTTGCAATTCGGAGCACATGGTTGGAAATGGTTGAAGCTAAAAAGCTATTTTTTTGTCCTCGAAGGCATTACGAAAAATCTCAACAGTAAGCCTCCCTGGCGTCTGTCTGGGCCCTATATTTACAATGCCAATCATTTAATCGCTAAGAGCATTGTTTTGCTTGGCGAAGCATACCTTCAGGGGCTTGGCAACCGATTAAAGTGTGTAATACAAACCTGTTTAGAGTCTTAACAGAAAATAACACGAAATACCACGAGACGTCATGGCACCCGTCACGATGAACTCCGATACAAATTAAAAAAAACCACACGACTCCGGACACAAAATAAAGTGCGGGCCAAAGAGCCGAGTGTTGGGCCAATGTAAATAAATACAGCTTCCCAGCACACTTCACCAGTGACTTGCGTACAAATATATACCTTTAAAATAATCTCAACAGATCCGTTTAAAACTTAAGCCAACGACCCAGAGCCAAATTGAATTCCAAGCCAAAGCCAACATGAGTATCGTATGATATCAGAACTCATCCCGCCCCCCTTCACCGACCAATGTGTATGGGGATGTAAGGTCACCCCCACCAGCCCATGCTCAACATGATGTTGGAAGGCCTTTATCCATTGTTGATTAAAACTTTTTTTAGCCCCCCCCCCTCCCAATACGTTCCATTCATTGGCTACCACATTGATAAGCTCCCCCCTCCTCTCCTCCCCCTTAACTTGTATTTAAGAACTTGCATCTTGGAATCCCTGCCTCACTTGATGCAGCAAATCTGGCTGTGACGGTCCCACCTGATGACGGAGACTTCTGTTGTCTCCGAAACGTCGTGATTTTTTATTATTTTATTTCTATTATTACTTTTATTAATATTAATTTAATTTTTTACCCACGTGACTTTACCAAAAAAACTAAGAGTATGAATCCTTGCAGTCACGAAAGCTTCAAATCTAGAATTAACAAAATGGCTGGATTGTTTTTGTTGTGACTGTATATGTAGTCATTATCAACCCACTGCTGGATAAGGGGTTTCCCATGTCGTGCATGTTGTGGGGATTATTTGGCCATAATTGGCAACACTGATCATCAGTGCACAGTAAAGGTGGAGCATAGACAATTGAGCATAGCACTTCAGTACTGTACAACAATGCATATCGCTGTACTGACCTCTACTGCCCACACCCGACCCACAGCCTATAACATTCATGAAATATTCCAGACAACTATTGAACATTTACAGATCTTATACTGGTAGGAACCTCCTGGTTACACCAGCCCACAGGGGATTGTGTCCGTCGTGCAGGGAGGGGCTGGGTGAGGAGGGTGGGGCTGGGTGTGGAGGGTGGAGAGGGGCTGGGTGGGGAGGGTGGGAAGGGGGCTTGGTGGGGACGGTGATGCTGGGTGGGGAGAGGAGGGTGGGGAGGGGCTGGTCACCCCGTGGTGCCCTTACAAAACTCAACGTTTAACCTACTCACGCCGGCTTGTGCCCGCGCTCACAGTCGGGCATATTTGCGGAATACACCACGCCGCCGTTGACCCTGGCCATTGACCGAGCAACCCAACGTTCCTACCAGCTCCCTCCGCAGGAATGTGTTATAATGAACCATGAAAAACCACACACGAGTTGGACAATCATACAAATTATATTTATTATAGTGACTTAAGATTCCTGAAAATGCTAACAAAAAATAACACATTTAATTTACCGTCATGTGCAGTCTCTATATGCATATCAGTAATCGCAGTTTATAAACAATAGCGGTGGTGTTTTCAAAACTGGGCATTAAATTAAAAGATATCCTTTGCGTATGGCAAAGCATGCAACAAAACATTGCAATTCCACACGGCCACAAGGAAAATATTGCAACGATCCGTCCCAAGTTTTTAAACTAGCGATGACTGCAATTGAATAGAACAACCCCTTCTTGGGAGCGACTGTAAAGAAAATGTGCATGGAATGGATACAGCATCGGCTACGTTACACACTTTAAAGATATGGATCACTAACGGGGGCGAGGGATGGAAACACATTGAAACATCACAATACAGCCACAAAACGTTATGGTGCCAGCAATGCGCCTACCTTGAACGAAAGACGAAAATTAGTTTAAGCCTCTTCCATGTATGGTAAAACATACTTATACTGTTAAGTCCTGCAAACACGATACAAATATCCTAGGAAAATAGACATCTGAAGGAGTGGACATGGCTAATTAGGAGAAACTAATTTGCCATGGCTCTCAGTCCTTGAAGACAGCAGTTATTTAAATATATTTACTGGATGTAGATCTCTTCATTTTTATAAATCTTCCTTCATCGCTTACCACAAGATATACTTTTCTCTAAAGTCACATTCCTTGCATGAGTAACCTGTGAAACTTGGAACATTTTAACTTGTAAATAAAGGTATGGAGCACACAATATAACCGTTTTGAAGTCACACGCTACTAGAAGCAAACAAAAAGCACGTATTAAAATTAAGATTACAATCGATATATTGTGTACCCCTGGGGCCAGACTACAAAAATCGTCAATTCAAACTTAATTTAAAGAGTAACTTAACAACAATGCACACACAGCAAAAAAAGCGAACGAAAACTCCGTTAAATATTCTGCACTTTGAAAATATGAGTCACGCACACACATTTTAACCAAATAACACAGCAATTAAGATTACCTACGGCATGTAAAGCAGCAAAAAAACATAATCTACGAGGAATGTGGTGATTGTCTTCCAATAGGGATTGCGAACATGAGGCAAAGGGTTCCAGAAATGCCATACGCAGGGTGTCTCCTACACTTCAAGTTTCAGGGATTCCGATTTAAAGCTTTCATAACTGCAAGGGATTCATCTTCTTGGTTCTTTCGTTAAAGTCATGTAGAAGGGAAATAATAAAAACAAAACATAATAAAATACAATTCTCACTGATGTTTCGGCCACAACGCAAGCAGCCGTCCTCAGGTGTGGCCGAAACGTCGTGAGAATTATTTTATTATGTTAAATTCGTATTATTTAATTATTTCCCTTCTACGTGACTTTACCGAAAAGAACCAAGAAGATTTCAGGGATTCAGTTACACCACTTGCACCTTGGGGCAACCGCAACGCAATTCTTACGCAACATCCTGCAAGCACACACGGCAGTCCACCTCCAGATATTTCCGATGTCATGAATTCTGTTTTGCTTCAGAGGACACTCCCAATGAACCTTTTGCCTGAGGTTCGCAACTTCCGTGCCAAGACACGGAAGCGAAATCGATGGGCACTTTGCTAGAGTTGCTGGGGCTTGCTGGCTCACTGCACCAGCAGCAGGCCGCGGGGACCGGTCCCTGCTACTTAAGCCGGAGTGTACGGAGGAGGGTCGTCGTCCTTGGGTGGAATCTTCATCACAACCATCTCGTACGGAGGCAGCAGGTACTGTGAACGCATACACACGCGCACGGCATTAATCATTATCATCATCATCAGCCATGCAAAATCCGCTGCTTGATGAGGGCCTTGCCATGCCACTTTAACAAGCCGATTCATCGCTCCATCTCCATAGTGGACACACTCCCGGGCGTGTTAAAAATGGTGTACAATGTCAAACGAGTATAATAAAAAATCTAACATTCTAGATTTGAAGCTTTCGTGACTGCAAGGATTCATACTCTTAGGTTTTTTTGGTAAAGTCGCATAGGTAAAAAATTAAATTAAAAGTTAATAAAAGTAATAGTGGAAATAACATAAAATAATAAATCACGACGTTTCGGAGGCAACACAAGTCTTCGTCATCAGGTGGGACCGTCACAGCTAAAATGACTGCATCAGTAATTTTACTGCATTAGTAATTTTAGCTGTGATGTCCCACCTGATGACGGAGACTTGTGTTGCCTCCGAAATGTCGTGATTTATTATTTTATTTCCATTATTACTTTTATTAACTTTTAATTACATTTTTTACCTACGTGACTTTACCGAAAAAAACCTAAGAGTATAAAATCTAACAGTCAATTCAACTTAAAATAAAACTTATATAACTGAACTTTAAGCGAAAAAACACATCCTTCCAAACACTAAACACCGACCGACCAACGTACATGTCGAGCCCTTGCCCCAGTCTACTGTTTGATGCGGGCCTCCCCATGCCAAGCAAGGTTGTTGGGGTTACTCGACCGTACAACACCACATTGTTCAGTGCGGGTTGGTGAAGGCGGGGGGAGCAGAGACGTTGGAGCGTAGAAGCGCAGTACAGCAATGGATGTATTTTCTGCACTGCCGTCTGCTGCTGCGCCCCAAACGACCCCAAGGTTGTCATGACACAAACTGGTCGTGCGTGGTGGTCAGTTTCCGACATGTGACGAGACCAGGTGCATTCTGGTTTGATTCGGTCACAATTCAGCTCTTATCGTCTAACCACTTTCAACAAGGAAACTGTACAAAGTTTACACGGGCGACATACACTGATTGTGCATTCACGTTTTGCTTAGAATGCATTCAACTGCATTCACTTCCGTGCACGAAGCTTTAATTTTCACGTGCGCAGTAAAGTACGACAGTATTACAACACAAACGTAGGACTTAATAAACATTTCCCCTAAATAGCATTATTTTGTTGCTCAAGCTTAAGGAGATGCCTCATATTTTTTTTCTTTGCTATACAATGCAAAAAAGTAACACAAAGACCTTCTTGTTTCCGCGAGTGTCCGTCATCCCCCCGCGAGTCTAATAGCTCGCCGTTGCTTTGCAATATCCGTGGTATGGCGCAGGCCTTGATATATGTAACATGTGATGATAAACGAACAAAACAAAGTTGAGAATGTGAAAAATTCCTGAACATTAACAGCACTAAAGAGCACTACAATGCAAAGAAAACCTTGTGCCACTCTTCATCAAAACCGCACACAAAAGCACAAGATATATAAAAATGATATAAAACACATTCCTTCGGAGGGAGCTGGTAGGAACGTTGAGTTGCTCGGTCAATGGCCAGGGTCAACGGCGGCGTGGTGTATTCCGCAAATATGGCCGACTGTGAGGGTGGGCACAAGCCGGCGTGAGCAGGTTAAACGTTGAGTTTTATAAGGGCACCACGGGGTGACCAGCCCCACCCCACCCAGCCCCACCCTCCCCACCCAGCCCCTCCCCCCCCACCCAGCCCCTCCCCACCCTCCCCACCCTTCCCTCCCCACCCAGCCCCACCCTCCATACCCAGCCCAGCCCCTCCCCACCTCCCCTCCCTCCCCACCCAGCCCCTCCCTCCCCACCCAGCCACTCCCCACCCTCCCCTCTCCACCCAGCCCCACCCCTCCTATTTTTGGATGCACGACAGACGGACGGACACAATAATCCCCTGTGGGCTGGTGGAACCAGGAGGTTCCAACCAGTAAAAGGAAACATGTCCAAGCTTCTCAACAGCAGATAAAGGACAAAGGGCTAGCCAAGCCCGCCCCACGCACAGCAGCAGAGTAGCGAAGGTCAGCGTCGCGTGACAACTGCAGCGAGGAGAGGCTCAAGGTGCGTCCACGTAAAATTATCGTCACGGCTCGAGTCAACAGACAAATCGGGGTGAACAAAGCCCGTAGGCGGTTACCAGAGCGTCCTTGCTAGGCTGAGTAAGGCGATGCAGTGCCGAGCCTTCAAACCCCCCCCCCCCCCCCCCCCACCTTGCATAGTCGCTGACTCTTTTTTACACGCTTTCTTTTAACTCACTCCGTCTGTTGTTGTTGTCGTTGTTGTATCCTCAAATCTTGCAACTCAATTTTAACCCACTTCCCAATGTGGTATCGACTGAAAACTTGGTATACTTAAGTGATACTGATGACAATAATATATTCTATCATCAAACATTATTTTTTTAGATGTTATGTTTCGGCTTGGGTCTCATTGTCCACGGTCAACTGACGTTGGCTGTAATTGACCATGGCCCCTTACGTTATGGAAAGCTTCGGGGCTACTTCCTGGAGTCGTGCAGTTCTGCCATTACTAGTAGGGTACATTTCATAAAAGCGTGTTTACATTTTTTTTTATTACTTATTAAAATACCTGCAGAGAGTCAGTATTGTTCGGAGGCTGGTAAAGAAGCCTGCTCCTGATCATGTTAACGCCCTCACATCTAACCCTCACGACACACAGCGATAAATCAACAGTTAATAGCGCTGGGCCTGAAATACAGCAGAACCCCTCTTAACGACAGTAATTGGTTCCGCAAAACCGTTTGTTAAGTGATTTACTCGTTAAGCAAGTTTAGGAAATACACGTCAAAGGCTTAATTTGGTCCGATAAGCATCGCGAGTCATCAATTTTTCACCCAAAAGACGTACGTTATAATATTTAAACAAAGGATATGAATAAATAAAGATACTAACAACATTATAAACACATAATATACATAATATTAAAATAAACACGGTTAATCAATGCATTCATTAATATTTGCTGGACCTACAACAGCCTGTCGTTAACAGGGGGTGGTCGTTAAGAGGGGGTTCTACTGTATATGGTAGTGCACACTGTTGTATTGCCTTAATATATATTAACGATATTTCTTTACACCATCTAAACTTGTCATTTACAAAAAAAAACTATTCATTTTCCTAAAAAAAAGGGGGTTTTCACAGTTCATTAAAACTTTAAATAAATAAATAAAAATGCTGACTTGCACGTGAAAAGTAAAGCCAGATAAGCCAGCAGCTGTTTGCAAATGTAGCTTGCCCCCAAGCATATCAGCTGCCCACACACTCGCCAAGTCGTAGAAAACAGGCAAGAGTTTGGTAGCACAGAGCACAGACTCTGATTCGGCATCACTAACACCAGCTCAAGTATGGGGGCGGCGGGGGGGGCGTGAAACGTGAGAATTCCCCTCCGAACTCACTCCACTGCCTAGTCACACGGATTACCCATTGGCAGCTCGCCTCTACCGAAGACAAGGCTTCTCTTATTCCCCCCATTACGTTCCGTCTTTATAGAGAGCGTGGTTTTAACTGTGCTTGGTTTCAGATTCCGCAAGCTTACAAACTCTAGAGGAAAAGATGGCCCCAGTGGATTTTTTTCTGTGTACCCTGTGCGGGTCCCTTTCCACACAAGCGTTGCATTCAGGTTTTCCGAATTAACCGTTGCAAATCAGGTGTCAAGCCAAAACCAAGAAATGTTGACTCACAAATTATACCGCTTTGCCTAACTAACTTAGCAATCTTTGAACTAACTTAGCAATCTTTCTAACTTAGCAATCTTTGAAATATGTAATCGACCAGGCTATGCGTTAATTGTGTGTTGACCGACTCTCTGTGTTGCATTACATTACATTTCAATATTTTGCTAGGTTATTTAATTTAATGTGTCTCTCTCCCGTTCTCCTAATTTTCAAGCTTGCGTGCTTTACCACCCGTCGTCCTACCCATTGACATGCTAATTGTTTCTCTAACCCCCTCCCTCTCTTCGCCCCCACCCCCTCTCTCTATTTAAGGCCTCGTCACAGAGACGTTCTCTCTCTGTGTGCCTATGTGTTGCTCTCTCTCTATGTATCTTGGTGATATCTGTCTGCTTATATGTCTGTCTATAGTTTTCTGGTTAGATTTTTGTTGCTATTTCATTTATACCTGATGATGATTGCTTGTGTTGCAATCCAAACGTCGTATGCCATTATTTATTTTTTTATTTTATCTTTATACGTGGCTTTCCCGAAAGAACCAAAGAGTATTCATGGCGATTGTTTAACTGCGCTTCACCGTGCTCATCAGTGCTGATTAATGAAAGGAGTTGGGGAGGGGGATTTGCGAAGACCGGTTTGAATATCACTCGTCAACTACTCCGATTAACACGGCTGGCTAGGTACGGTCCGAAAAAAGCTCCGCATTTAGAAACATGCATTTAGACTATTTAGATTATTTTGCTGCTAAAAATGTTCAAGTGATAAGCCAATTTGTTGAGCTATCATTTGTGGCCAGGCTGCCTTTGAACAATAAGTTAATACACCTCAGTGGGCTTTGTCTGGTTGGATGGGGATGGTTTTGTTTCATTTTTACGTGTTTGTGTGATTGTTTACCTTTCTCGTACTTTACACTATCATGTTTTGTATTGTTTGTGGTTGTAACGTTCATCGGATTCCTCCAGTATATATGAACATTCTGATTCTGACCTGCAAGCATACTGATAGCCGAGTCCAGGGGTCGAATACAGGTGGCAGAGTGCAGTGGGCTAGCCAATGCACAACCACTCCCTCCAAGAGATATGAAGATTGGAACTAGATATCACAAATTGCTACACTGGCGTTTCACAGACTCGATCAGCAGATGGCCGAACCATTACGTTCACACACCACAAATGACTTCGCCATTGGAATAGAAATCCCAATTTGGGAGCAGCTAAACCATGAATGAAATAAGAAAAAACATACTTATAAAACAAATATGCTGTTATACAACAAACACAATAAGTTTATTTTCCCAATACTCTGCTTTGTTTTAGTGGGCTCTTGTCAATATCAATACATTGAACCAGATGTGCTTCTGTCTGGTAATTCCAAAGCATTAATGGGTGAAGGTCAGAGCCAGAGGCTAATCACAGAAACGGTTCTAATACTTAAATCCCCCAGTTTGGATGGCGAAGTGCAACAGGAAGGGATTAACTCAATTTCTGGCCAGTACTCTCCGCCAATGGATGATGATTTCGGTTACAGTAAAACCTTGGATTGCGAGCATAATTCGTTCCGGAAACGTGTTTGTAATCCAAAGCACTCGTACATCAAAGCACTCGTATATCAGTTGTGATCACGTGACGCTTGGCAAAGCGTATACACGTACTACTCGTATTGCAAGACCTCGCTCGTTTATCAAATTAATATTTATTTAAAAATTTTGCTCGTCTTGCAAAACACTCGCAGACAAAGTTACTCGCAATCCAAGGTTTTACTGTACATTACTTACCAATGACGGGAGTCCGGATACACTAAAATGAATGGGTAAACCGTACCTCGTTGTTCTGATCCGTGAAGACGGTCATGTCTGGGATGTTCCTGTTCACAATGTACTTGTAGCAGTTCCACACGCAGCAGATCATGTAAGCCTGCAATGACAAACCACAGCAAAATTAGCACCTACTCTTGCGGTCGTCGCATGTGTGTGGAATATTAATTGTTCGGCGGTCGTCGGGAATTAGGATAAAGGTGGACATTTTGAAACCACACGAAACACTGAACCCCCCCCCCGCCCCCCTCTTTTACGTAAATGCCACGCAATGCAGTGAGCACCCACGCAAGCTGTGTGTTTGACCAACCTTGAACGACAGGACAAATGCGAAGAGCAGCACAAAGATGAGCACCACCCAAGTGGAATCCATGCTCTCAATGTCCTCCTTGTACGTGAAGTTCGGCTGAAGTACACGATAACAAAACAACATGAAAAATCGGGTCGGTTAACCACAGGTGCGCACTGACGGTTTAAGTCACTGACATTTTTCACTGTCCTGTGAAAGCCACGAGTGGTAGAAAAAAAAAGGCTTTCCATTGTTGTGAATAAACGTTCCGTGGAAGAGAAACACTGTCAGTTATCAATGCATTTCATTGTCCGTCACTTTCCGACACACACTACCTTGGGACAAACCTTACTAGCTAGCCTTTTGCCCGTCCTAGGACGGAAGCTGTAATATTTACGAAAAAAGAATTGAGCAGAGTATAATTGTTTCTTGTGTAAATTTAATGGCAGTGAATGTTGCACAAAAGTACGTCATCAAAAACCTCGCTGCATTTCACTGTAGCACTGTATTACCGGCAGTGATTCTTGCATAAAACACCTCACTTCATGTCACTGTCGCACTGTATATAACGGACCCTCAATTTGTTCAAACTCACTGCTCTGATACTTTATTCTCTTCTGTGTTCGGTCGCTGAGGTTGAAATTAACATGAAATCGATACAATATCTGGAAAATCACTGAGAAATGTCTATTTTACCATAATGTAGAAGCATACATTAGACTTACCTTTTGTCGCAAGTGCTGAAGAAATAAATAAAGACACCAAATCCACTTTGTTGCTGCGTAGAATTATTTATTAGATTAACTTTCAATAAAGAAATGTGAAACTTAAAGCGAATTTGCAAAAAAAACCATTTCTTTCCGCTCGACCTTCTTCTGCGCGAGTGTAAAATTACACCCGCTCATAAATATTAATGATGGGGGGGGGGGGGGGGTGTGGCATGTGGAGTGACGTCACGCGTGTGACACAAAAATTGGCTGCGTCGAGTGGTGGCAGGTTTAACGACACATCTCATCTATATTTACGCGATCTAACCCAAAAAAAAAACCTTCGTTATGGATATTGGTCGCGAAAGCTTACTACGTGTTAATCTACCTGGGAGAATTTAGGGAAATAAAACACAAACTCCAAAATAAAGTATAATATTACTGCAGAGCAAGAACTACCTTTACTTATGTTTATCTCAGCTACAATACCATCGTGAGTATTAAAACACTCACAATGTTTAGTCGGGCCTACTGAAACTCCATCGCTACATTATGGAGATTTTTTTCAGTTTTCGTAGTGATACTTTTTATATATATAGAACATTTTACAGCCCTATGTTGTGAAGGGGGTGCCCGATGAATGATTCAAATATCACTCACCACTGCTTGTCAGCCATGGCTGGAAATAAAATGGAGTTCGCTGGATGCAAAGCGTAGTGCACTCACAACTAAACCATCGCTATAACATTTAAGTGCCATCCACGTGAAAACCCTTATCCTTACACTGGTGAGTTTCCAGTAGAACGGCTGATGTATGTATGTTGAACTTCTTTTGCATGGTACGTATGGGGTAAGGACAACAACAAACTAAACACAAAAAGCAGTTGTAAAGAAACGAGTTTTTCAATCTAGATTATTTTAAAGTGCACAGCTCCAGTGCCTTCCTAATAACCCAACGGAAAAGCGTTCCAGACGGCCGCAGAAGCGCATCTGAAACTGTGCGATGCAGCGACCGTCTTTGTTCGATGGCCAGCCAAAAGCCGCTGCTGTGAGGGTGACCGGAGTTCGCGTGATGTAATGTTCAATCAATTACCAGCTGGTCCACGTAGTCCTTGAACTTGGGCAGGTAGGTGAGGAATCCCACAGCCACAAGGCAGGTGAGAGCAAAATCGAAAAGCTGATAGCAGAAGAATGGGATGAGAAGGCCACTGCGATGCTGGGAACAGAAAGAAAAGATGTGGCCATGGTCACTCAACTGCTTCACACCAGAGCTGGCTCCTACAACATCCTACATCAACAAACACTACTTTATATCATTTCCATAACCAGTATCTTCGATTCAGGTAAAATCTACTGAAAACAAAATATGACTTTAAAAGTGAAAAGCATGTACGCACAGGTTGCATTGGTCGATTACGTTTATGTACGATTTATTCAGTGGCTTATTTTTAAGTTTGACCGTGTCTACAAATAACCATTGCATGCACTCAATGACAAATACATGAGATATGTAATTAACACATGGACGTACTTTGAACGACCCGTAGACCAGCATCCCACTCATTATCATCATCAGCAGAGATATCACCATAGCAATGGAGCTGTCTGTAAGCAAAAGCATAATTCATCAGACAGAACACCATACCACAACAATTATTTCACTCTCAAGACGATTCCTGTGACCATATTAGCTAAAATGCACCTGACCTCATCCGATCTCAGAAGTCGAGAAGACAGTGCTTGCGTGGGTGACCACCATGCGCATGCCAGGTTGGTAAAAGCAACTGCAGGGCAGTGCTACATAAATACAGGACACCAAATCCATTGTTGTACTGTATTTATATGCTCTCACAGCTATGCTCCCATGGTAACTAACCACATGAACCAAATTTCGATTTAAAGCTTTCGTGACTGCAGGGATTCATCTTCTTGGTTCTTTCACGTCGTGATAATTATTTAATGATTTATTATTATTTTATTATTTACATTCTACGTGACTTTACCGAAAGAACCAAGAAGACACATGAACCAACTTTGTGAAGTATGGTCAAATGACCCACATGGCATGGGGAGGCCCTCATCCAATAGTTTTACACATAGAACATACGTTGCATGACATTGGATTGGGGTAGGAATTCAACTTGAACGCTTTGCTTAGTCATCCACCGAAATAGCTCATGATACACGATCTTAAAAAAATAAACAAACTGTAATTTATGTAAATCTTTACGTTAAGCTTTTGTGACCGCATGAATTCATATTCTTTGGGTCTTTAGGTAAAGTCACGTAGATAGGTTCTAAGAAAATAACAAAAAATAACAAAAAACTACGACATTTCGATTGCATCAAATCCTGATGACAAACGCTTGTGTTGCGATCGAAACGTCGTAGTTTTTTGTTATTTTTTCTTATTTTCTTTGAACCCATCTACGTGGCTTTACCGAAAGACCCAAAGAATATGTAATTTATGTATTCACACAAATATAACATGTATAATCATTCCGTGATAAAGTCGCAGGATTTATTCTGCTGCATTCAAAAAAGATTAGTGCTAAATAGTCAGCAATAGAATATATTTGGAAATGCTCCTGATATCAGCTTAGGCTACTTAGCATGCATATGTACTGTACAGTAAATCCTAATCGTGTGCCACGGTGGGGAGACGATAACTCCCTCGCCTATTCTGCAGGCAGTCGTGGGTTCGATCCCGACCCTGACACCTGTATATTTGGAGTTTGCGTGTTCTCCCCATGGTCGCGTGGATTTCTATCGGGGTCCTCCGATTTTTCACCTCCACATTTAAAAAACGTGCGTTTAGAAAAACCTGCTATAAATTCCCACATGAATAAGCCACTTCCTTGAGCTGTCATTTGTGACCAGGTAGCTTCTGACAAAGAGCTACATAGCTCAGTGGGCGTTTACCTGGTACAATAAAAATAGAAGTAACAGAAGACGTAAAATGCAATGTGATCTGTACCGGCGGAAGGATCCCACTAATCTGGTTATAAAGAAAACAGGAACGGTAATACATACAGAGTTTATTTTTAACTTGGCCGAGCGACTTAACATGGAATTCCTAAATTGCAGTCACACGACCGAAACCCATCTGCATAAAGGGGCGAATGCAAACATGGAAATGACACCGACAGAGACTGCTGACACCAAGCTTACCGACGCCGTCGGACATGTTTGAGTAGTAGCTGTTGGGAAGGTCGTACTTGTGTGCGAACTCTGCTACCTCATCGGGGCTGATGGTGGCAGCCGCGAGAAATGACGCCATCACCAAATACATCAGCTGGAGAGAGAAAAAGGAACAAGATTGGGACGACAGTCGGTGTTTCGAAAACTCAGGCCCCAGAACTTAGTTCCCCACAACAACAATAACACAAACCCCACGACACATTCACATTATTGTGTTTCACGGTGGAACGGGTGGCGCAGTGGCTGGTACAATTCTCAGCAAACTGATGAATACCGAGGCTGGAAACCACAGCAGTGGCAAGCGTCTCACCATCCCACCCGCTTGTCTTTACCAACCAGCTCTGACCAGCAGGGATTTTGATCAAAGTTAAACTCTCAGGACGGACACAGCAAGTCTGGCGGAAGACCTTCATCCAACAGTGGGTTGGGCAAAAGGGCTGGCAATTGTAATTGTATTTTTTTCCAATCTGTTATCTCCACGGCAGATGTTTATACTTCCTAATTTGTTTTGGTCAACATGAATTGCACCATGTCACCACATTTTTTTGTTGTTGTTACGTTTAAGCGGATATGTTTGTCAAAACATAAGACATGCTCGACAGTGCAGGAAACATATTACATACTAAATTAAAGCCTGGAAATATACATACCAATAATGACACTTAATAATGTTTATTTTGTATGTGGTCCACAGCGTTCTGGAGACTTCACTAATATATAGTGGGATTCAAGGAGGGTACAGCACCAAGGCAAGTGGGGTTAAGGAGCGTGTTTAATAATTATGAAATGATATTTGTGCTTGCCACAAAGTGCACTCACAATGGCAATGGTGGGTGATGTGAATTTATTATAAAGCTGTATGAGCTGCAATGCTTTCTTTTTCTAATTTTTAAACTAAGTGTTGGGTGGATTTACCGAACAAAAGTAATCACGTCGTCAGAATCAATTATTGTCACCTAACAGTCTTACCAATCCATTGTAACCCAAGTTCAAGTTTGTATACAAACCAATTAAATCAACTTTCCTAATAACCTAAGTCGTACAAGTTTACAAGTGAAGATTAACATCCGTGTACACAAGAACGTCATCATGTAAACTACAAAACGCGTTGTGCCCCACCACCATGAAAGCACACAAATTGTTGTTTTGTAACAGAACACAACCGCTGTACTTTTCTGCCTGTGAACACTCATCAATCTAGAAACACCAGCTCCTCCCTACGACGGTATAAGATACTAGTCCACGCAATTAACACCGTCTGCGTCACGTGTATGTTAATGTACTGTGTGATGTACTTTGTGATGTACTGTGTGTTGTTCTGTGTTAATGGGGAGCGGTGGTGTAGCGATAAGCGCGCTGCCCTACGAACCCGGCATCCAGAGGTCGATTCCCGCTCACGGCCAACACCAGTGACGATTAATTATCTGAACCGGTCCTGGGCCTCCCCGAGGTCGACTCAGCCTCAAATGCTCACCTGGTGCGGTGTGTATACATCGACAATAGGGAGACAAAGGCGGCCGGGTGTGGTGTTGGCCACCCACCCCTTCGTGTACCGTGCCGGCCTTCATAGGTGCCCGCTAACAGCGCTTTCCCCAACAATCTGTTCAGGCTTTACGGGGAATCTTTATCTTTGTTAAACTTCTTTCACACCTTACGTAGCCCAGCCGTGCTAATCATGTAACACATGCGCCTAGGCGCACACCGCAATCTTAATTTGAATCGGCTTTATTAACGCGAATTTCTTGTCGCGTCACGTGGGAGGAACGTGTTTAACAATAATCGGGCGCGTGCAGCGTGCAACGAGTTAAATTTGTACTGTATTTGAATGGAGGAGGGGGGGGGGATAAATTGGCAAACACGGAAAGACGGAGCGCTGTGGGTCCCGAGGCCTGAAGATTGGGGAACCCTCGAGTGAAGTGGGTGTCTAAAGCTACCTCTAGTTCCACATTATGCCACGGTGGCGACATTAACTACCTCGCCTGGTATACAGGAGGTCGTGAGTTCTACCCTGACGCCTGCTGTATATTTGTAGTTTGCGTGTTTCTCTATCTCATCATCATCACAGTGGCGAGATGTTAACTACCTCGCCTGGTATACAGGCGGTCGTGAGTTCGACCCTGACGCCTGCTGTATATTTGGAGTTTGCGTGTTTCTCTATCTCATCATCATCACAGTGGCGAGATGTTAACTACCTCGCCTGGTATACAGGAGGTCGTGAGTTCTACCCCGACGCCTGCTGTATATTTGGAGTTTGCGTGTTTCTCTCTCTCATCATCATCACAGTGGCGAGATGTTAACTACCTCGCCTGGTATACAGGAGGTCGTGAGTTCTACCCCGACGCCTGCTGTATATTTGGAGTTTGCGTGTTTCTCTCTCTCATCATCATCACAGTGGCGAGATGTTAACTACCTCGCCTGGTATACAGGAGGTCGTGGGTTCTACCCCGACTCCTGCTGTATATGTGGATTCTAGATTTGAAGTTTTCGTGACTATGTAAAGAGTATGTATATTTGGAGTGTGCGTGTTTCTCCCCCCGTGGTTGTGTGGATTTTTCTCCGGGTCCTCCAGGTTTTCCCTCCGCATTTAGAAAACACGCGTTTAGAGTATTTGGCTGCTATACATTTCCACTTCATCAGCCACTTCGTTGAGCTATCATTTGTGGCGAGGTCGCTTTTTAAAAAGAGCTACATAGCTCAGTGGGCCTTACCTGGTAAAATACAAAATAGTTTAAATAGTTAAGTTTGTCAAGTCATTCTCTCCTTAAAAAGACTATTGTACACGAAACGGACAGCTGTTATCTTGAAGCTAAACGCCTAGGGCTTTGCAGATCTGCACCATTCAGAATTTTTTTTTAAAAAACTCTACAGAAGCTGATTGTAAATACTCCTAGTATAAGCACAGGTCTGATATAAGCAATACAGCGCACAACCTTACATTGCTAGTAGGCCAAGGGCAACTTCTGATATAAACATCACTCTCAATGGGTGTTCTTATATCCAGCTACGATTATTGATTAAAACAAATCAACTGTAAGCCACGATGTTGACATTGCTACCGTGTGATAATAGACACTCTAAAGTTTAAGAGACGTCGTGGCAGCAAGGCAAGGCAAGGAGGTTCCACATCAGGAGCCCTTGATGACAATCACTCCACTGCTGGATGAAGGATCGCCCCCAAAGCCACCCATCCACCTGGCGCCTTCAATGATCGATTTCATCGCTCCATCTCCTCGTTATCGGTAGAACAATTTTAATTTTTTAAACTAAACTTAAGCATACACTTTTTCGTCATTAACGACGCTTTAAACCGGCGTCATAAACAACCCCGACACTCACGCAGCTTACAAAAACACGACGCGATTACAATTCCACAACACAGGTTGTTGTTGTTTTGGATGAGATCGCGTAAACGTGTGTGTCGTTAAACCCACCACCACCCGACCCAGCCAATTAGTAAGGTTTGTCACGTAAAACAAAACATGCCAATTCGTTACTAGCACAGCACAGAGAGCAAATCCACAAAACATTTACAATCAATTATCGTGTTCTTTTTCAGTGCCATCTATTCGCTTAATCGCATTGAAGTGCGCAAGAGCGCGGCCTAACTCGACGTCGGTGAAGCCTACGGCCTTGCCTGATGCCCACCCCGGGCCTCACCCCCCCCACCCCCCGCGAGCCGACAACGACGTCGGCGTCCTCACCGCGTAGGCGCCGCCGAGCAGCATCGCGCCCGTGCGGACGTGGAAACAGACGCAGCAGCTGGTGGAGTAGAACTGGTAACGGAAGGGCGACTTGAAAGACATGGCTGGACGACGTTTAAAGTTTAACTTACAGAGAGAATTGGAATTATTTATAACAACGGAGAGAAGCGCTACGCGAACCCCTCCACTCCCCTCGCGGAGTGATACACAAGCAGAGCGGCGGCGAGCGGAACTAACGGTAGTGGTGACGTCACGGCACGAGATAAGCATTACGTCACCCCCCCACCCTCAACCCCCCCCAACCTAAACCCCCCACTCTCAACCCCCCACCCTCACCCCCCCACCCTAACCCCCCACCCTCAACCCCCCCACCCTCAACCACCCTCAACCACCCTCAACCCCCCCCACCCTCAATACCCCCACCCTCAAACTTCCCACTCTCAACCCCCCCACCCTCAACCCCCACCCCCAACCCTCAACCCCCCCCACCCTCAACCACCCCACCCTCAACCCCCCACCCTCAACCCCCCCCACCCTCAATACCCCCACCCTCAAACTTCCCACTCTCAACCCCCCCACCCTCAACCCCACCCCCAACCCTCAACCCCCCCCACCCTCAACCACCCCACCCTCAACCCCCCACCCTCAACCCCCCCCACCCTCAACCACCCCACCCTCAACCACCCCACCCTCAACCCCTTCCGAACCTCAACCCCCCACTCTCAACCCCCCACCCTTCCCCCCACCCTCAACCCCCACCCTCAACCCCCCCACCCTCACCCCCCACCCCCCAAACCCTCACCCCTGCCACCCTTACCCCTCAACCTCACCCCCCACACCCCCACCCACCTACACCGTCACCCTAATCCCACTCACCCCCCCACCCCCTCCCCTAACCCCCCACCAATAGCAACACCGCCCGCTATAAAGGAGGCATCGGTTGGCGCGTCACAACAGGACGGGGTGCATGGTCACGTGACGACAGCAGGATGTCTTCAGTAAGGGAGTTGCCGAAACCCGTGCATAATGTTGAAGTGATGCCATCGAATGATCGATTGCAGCAGGCAGCTGCTATCACGATGCGGTGTCGTGGTTGTAGACTCACTCAGACGGAGATTAAACTATTATATTTTATTTTTACCAGCAATGCCCACTGAGCTTCTTTTCTCAGAAGCTATCTGGCCACAAACGACAGCTCAACGAAGTGGCTTAGGCACCGTCCATAAATGACGTCACGCACCTATGGGGGGGGGGGGGGGGTCAGACATTTGTGACGATGTGTAACGAAGGGGGGGGGGGGGTGAGAAATGTGACGTCACATCAAAATGCGCAACTTTAAATAAATATAGACAACACGTTCTACTTTTTAATAAATGTTTTCTCCTACAACATCAGAGTGCATCGCCACATTAAATACGCACTACAATACAATGACAATAGTTTAAAGCGATTTGAAACTTTTTTTGGGGGGGCAGAGCTTTGTGACGTCATATTTGAGGGGGGGGGGGTCTGACTTTTTGTGACGCCGTATGACGATGGGGGGGGGGAGGGGTAAAAAATCGTCTAAAATCGCGTGACGTCATTTATGGACGGCCCCTTATCATGTGAAAATTTAAGAAGATAAATACTTTAAACGCGTGATGTTGATTCTAAATGTAGAGGGGAAAAACCCAAGAACTTGGAGAAAAATTCGCGCGACCACGAGCAAATATACAGCAGGCGCCAGAGTCTGGTTCGAACCCACGACTTCCTTTATACCAGACGAGGTATTTCATATCTCGGCACCGCGGCGTTTATGATTAAGATAGTCATGCATGTTTTTTTAATAGAACCACTCTTGTTTACGCTGGGGCCATGGAGTCAACATTGGGGGGGGGACCAAATCTTCCAGGGTGTCTGGGGGTCCCAACCCAGAAAAATATCTCAATTTTTTAACTCATTTCCTGCCTAAAATATTTAAAAATTCACTAACACATGGGATGAACTTTTTTTTTTTACAATAATGTCTAATAGTGTATTGTATTACATTGCTCTGTTGTTACTTTTTTACCATTTCTTGTTTCATTGTATGTAATGGCAGAGATTAGGGATTAATGACGTACAACTATCACCACAATCATATAAACAAAAATCTATGCATTGATTTATATGAAGACAAGTGCAGATATTGTGGCCAAGATTTAACACATTTTTATTTACATAGCATCGCAATTATTTTTTTATAGCAATATATTGGGGGGGGGGGACATTTTGAGCATATTTGAATATTTAGGGGGGATGTGTCCCCCCCCCCCAATATAAATATATATATTATAAATACGGCCTTGATCTCAACACATTTTAGAGGGTACCCCACCCTCCACCCCCAGTGGCACATGTCCCAGCACAGTACAACGTGCCCCAGCATCTCACGTTCAAGCTGACTGGCGATGTTTGCTGTGTGTAATCCCAATTGAGTACAGTCATGAGATAGATACTGTACCCTTATTCTGCACTTACATCACGAGCCATGGACTCGCAGAGAGACCCATATGGTGGCGTATTGATCATAACCATCATCCATGGCCAAGACTGTAAAGCTTGGTCCAGATGTCTTGTGACCCCTGTTGCATTCTCTAAAACCTAATATATATTTTAAATAAGGTTTATTTAAAACAGAACAGAATATACGAAGGAAGCAAATGTTAGTGGTCAATTAATGAATTACGTTCTAGATTTGAAGTTTTCGTGACTGCAAGGATCCATACTCTTGGTTCTTTCGGTAAAGTCACATAGGTAAAGAAAATTTAAAAATGAATTATGGTTCACAAGACATCTGGACCACCCTGTACACGGCTGGGTCAGGTGACGTATGGTCGGATTGACCATACGTCACCTCGCCGGTCAGTGTTGGTTGGTGCTGGAAATGGGAAGAAATTACTCAATGGGCTCATAAATGCTCACCCCCCACCACCACCACGCTCGCTAAGGACAAACCATCCTCTGCAAGATCTGGAACTAAATCCACCCACTTGGAGCTGGATCGTACCAACTCGACTGCAGTCCTTCGACATGCGATGCTAAAAGTGCTTTCTTGGCATACGATGCTTCGACTTTGTCATAAACGTCACCGTCATTGCATCTGCGACCGGTCTCCCCCGCGCCCGAGAGCCGAGTTCGAGGGTGAGACGGCGACCGGTGCCACTTTGTGGGCGCGTGACCCACGTCTCGACGCGCAAACTCCAGCAGCAAAATCGCGCTCACTCCGGGCTGGCGGTCGACGTTCAGAGTGAGGACTGCGACCATCAAAGAAATGACGCCACTCCCGTGATCCATGGATCAAACAAATCACTCCAGACGCCCGGTGTATGGCAGCAAGAGGAGCAGTTGATGCGAATGCTGCCGCAGTGAGTCACACCAAAGCCGTAGCCATGGAGTCAACATTGGGTGGGGGGAGACCAAATCTTCCAGGGTGTCTGGGGGTCCCAACCCAGAAAAATATCTCAATTTTAAAACTAATTTCCTGCCTAAAATATTTAAAAAATTCACTAACACATGGATGGACTTTTTATTTATTTTTTACAATAATGTCTAATGGCGTATTGTATTACATTGCTCTGTTTTAACTTTTTTACCCTTTCCTGTTTCATTGTATGTAATGGCAGAGATTAGGGATTAATAAAGTACAATCATAACCACAATCATATAAACATAAATGTAAGCATTGATTAATATGAAGACAAGTCCAGATATTGTGGCCAAGGTTTAGCAAATTGTTTTTATTTACATAGCATAGCAATTATTATTTTTATAGCAATATATTTGGGGGGGGGGGGGCATTTTAGCATATTTGAATATATATTCTAATTACGCCATTGAGTCACACGTTCGTTGCAACTGCCTTCGCGATGCACGAACTGAACGAGAGCGCAAGGGAGTGGTGGCGGATGGCAGAATTGACGACCAAATTCACGTTTTACCCTTTGCACGGCGTTCGTTATCATAAAAAAAGTATATTCTCAGACCTTATACACAGTTGTATGCGCATTTTGGAGATCCAAAGCGGTAGTGAGATGTTAACTACCTCGCCTGGTATGCAAGAGATATTGGGTTTGATCCAGACCCGAACGCATGTCTATTTGGAATTCTCATGTCCTCCCCGTGTTATCGTGGATTTTTCTCCACCTCCTCCGGTTCTTCCCTCCACATTTAACAACAAACATGCGCTGTAGAGTATTTATTTGGCTGCAATAAATGTCCAGATTAACCACTTCGTTTAGCTATAATTTGAGGTCAGGTCGCTTCCGAAATATAGACAAATAGCTCAGTGGGCCTTGCCTGGTAATAAAAACAAAGTGAATACCCTCCCCGACACGTGTCACGGTATCCTTATCAAATTCCTCCAGGATGAGTAAGTATATTCGGATTGTGTATCCTTTCGGAGCGTGGTCGGGTTCAAATGTCCTCCCCACCGCGCCGTCTCGACTCGTTCTGGCGTCGTATTCCCACCGCTGGCGGCGCGGATCGAAGTGTTGGGAGGATGCAGCATGAGAGCACAGCACATGCACTGGTAGGAACCTCCTGGTTACACCAGCCCACATGGGATTATTGTGTCCGTCGTGCAGGGAGGGGCTGGGTGGGGAGGGGCTGGGTGGGTGGGAGGGTTGGGGCTGGGTGGGGAGGGGCTGGTCACCCCGTGGTGCCCTTATAACACTCAACGTTTAACCTACTCACGCCGGCTTGTGCCCGCCCTCACAGTCGGGCACATTTGCGGAATAAACCACGCCGCCGTTGACCCTGGCCATTGACCGAGCAACCCAACGTTCCTACCAGCTCCCTCTGCAGGATTGTGTTTAAAGCGTCGAAGGGGATTTTTCCGCAACCGCCCTCTGCTGACAACGTAGCCAGGGTCACGAGCCTCCAGTGGTTATGCACGCTGGTGACTCACCAAAGCACTCGTCAGACGGGCTCAAGCTCTGCATAGCTGCCGAGAACTGACGACACGGGGTGCATTCCGGGTGAGTTTTCCACATCCCGCCGTTGCATCACACTTCCTCTTTTAGGTTGTCGTCACAATGTAATCCTGTCTCTCAATGCTTGCGCATTCGTTCAAAAGTTTAAAAAGTGTGATGGTTGCGATTATTGAAATCTGTTAAAATAAAGATTCCAATTCTGTTGTGCATTTTCAATGTCCATTGGGCAGGGTTATAATTTGATTAACTTTGGCTATGGATGGTTTGACATATTTCCACCCTGCTGTTGCAAAAGGGATCTAACGCTCCGTGCTAACCACGTGATGATGCTCCCTGACACGCCAATGCAATTGAAGGTGGCCAAACTTGAAATACAAACAAGTGCAGAGCCATAAAATGTAAGTGAACACGAAAAAAGTTTATTCTAATAAGTTTCAAGTTATCACAAAATTAGCAAAAAGAAAATGACAATGGCTTGAAGAAACCAATGATTAATTACCAGTCTTTTAAGGCGGGTAGGGCAGCAATTAAGGGCTTGAAACTGCACGTTTCAACCTGCCCTCCCCTCCTAAATTCAAGGGAACAATACTAAACTACAAACAGATAATAGACTGAATGGTCGAAAACATTACACTTGGCAATCATACGAAATCCAACTATTACATCTCCTATCATTATATATCCACATTTCAGCAACCCGTTCATGAAGTTCTATGTGTGTGCGATACATTATGAACCACATTTTCTTTGTTGCACTTAAAATCAAGAGTTTTTATTTGTTTGTGTGTTTTTTTGCATCAAGACAGACATGTATTTTCATTGGGGGTGGGGGTTCAAGACTCATCTGACCCAAGAAACATGATCCACTACACAGAATGAAAGATTCCAACATCACCCATAGCCAAATGGGCTAATAAGAGCCTCTTGTTACAGATAAGCATGTTTTTTTCCCCTCTCCAACTGCACTACATAAAGGTGAATCAGCAAACGAGCGTGGTGGATGTGTTCCAAATAAACACGACTGTGTTGCTCCCCAGCAAAGCTCTGTACCCACATGGCACTCGGGCAAGCCTCTGAAATGACTTCTAATACACGTGGTATTTCAATTGCCATTACTTCGTTGTATACATCCGAATGTACAATAAAACCACACAGCCCGTGTCACAGAGCATCTTTAATGTTAAACGCCTAATACTAAGCTGAAAAATAGTGGCCGCAAACATGTCATCTATATATTTCATAACCAAAACATACTTTAAAAGTTATCACAAACTTTATTGCAATAGAAATTTAAAAAAATCAAACTACGACAAAATTAACGAACCAAATCTAACGTATTACGTAACGTACTACTGCAATTCAAAAAAAAAACATAAGAAATTATTTTAAACAGAAATTCTAGGTCAAGCATAGTCTATTCAATCTAAGTGCATTTCCCCAGATGTGTTATAGGTATGAAAACCCACTGATGCCTATTTTAAATTGACAAGACTTGACAATATTAATTTAGGAGCTTATCTGTTAACAGATATTTGGCAAAGGGAAATAAAGTAAAATGGAACATTTCAAATGATACTAAAACATCGCGGTGAATGGTGGGATACTTAAGGCATTACACCAGCCAGCTTGAACAAACAAAGTAAGAAAACCACAGACAACCGAGGATCTAGGTTTGGAGTATATCCTTAGCTTGTTCAGAACTTGTGACGACAAATGGTGCAATTCGTGGAACTCGTAGTTCTCATATGGGACACAGAAATTTCAGTTCGATTCATTACAAGCTATTTATGGCATAATAAAAAAAAGATTCTCTGCAGCATATATCTTCAAAAAGTGTCACCCTCAAATAGGTACTCCATCAATACCTCTTCGTCATGGAAACCAACACCAATGACGATGAAGCCACAAGGATTTTCTCAGTGGAAAGAAACCAATAGAATGGTACAATGCATCCAGCAATAAAGATCAAACGAAGAAGGAAAGGCATTTGGTTTGTCGGTATAAAACTGCACATATCATACAAGGGTAGGGTGCAGATACATTACATAAACCACCTGGGGTCAAGTAAGTAAGAGCCTTATTACTTGTGCCATGTCCTTACGAGAAAACCTCGGGCATATTTTTTTTATTTGCATGATCGTCAATAACAAGGGAAGGAACTGTAAATATGAAGCAAGCACCTTGCACGTTTAAGCCACTGTCGGCTGTTGCATCCACCTCGCTTGTGTAAAAGCACAATGCCCCACATTGCTAATGGTTATTGATACAGTGGCCCCCTTTAAACTTGCAGATCACGGACCGGTCATTATAATCCGCCATTCACTGTGAGCCCTTTAGATTGCAAGTTCCAAAAAGCCAGTTGCCATGGCCCTCATTTCGTTTCCATCACAAGGCTTTCACTCACAGTGAACCCAGGAGGTTTTAACACTGTTATCAAAACCTTGCGTATAAGAAAATAGCCCTTTTGTAATCAGATTTCTCTCCGAGCTTTTTTCTTTCCTGCCTTCTTAGCTTGCTTGACACCCTCCCAGTTTTCTTCAGCTTGACCTGCAACGGAGCAAGAAGGCATTGGCGGTTTAAGAACACTCCAGTTGATAGCTGTTATACAAGACAACAGTTCAGCCAGTGGAAAAACATCAACATGCAAGGGGGAAAAAAATACACTATTACCATCATTACATTCACACGCCTGTTTTTACCTAAAACAAAAAGGTTTGAAATATTTTAATACATGTAATGTTCATGTTGGTAAAGTCTAAAAAAGCTCAAGTCAAATTAGTCAAGTATATTCTAGATTGAAATTTTCGTGACTGCAAGGATCCATGCTCTTGGTTCTTTCTGTAAAGTCATGGAGATAATAATAAAAAAAAAAGATAAATATTCAAGTATAGCCCTTTGTCCATCCACTGCTGGATGAGGGCCTCAACACACATGTTGTGGTGGGGGTCATATTTGAACATACTACTAATTGCTGGGAGTTTTTTTTACCATAATTCATCGCGCTACTCAGTACAGGTTGGTGAAGGTGTTGTGATCCCCACCTTCAATCCGCACTGACCAGCGTGAAGGTGATCGCACAGAGCAGGGCACGGGGCAACCTGTGCCGCCAGATCCACATGCGGCTCTTTAAGGACTGATTTCGTCATGTTATTCACATGCACTGGCGGCTCTTGAAATATTTTACCGAATTAAAAAAAAGTCTCCATTTGTTATTTTGGTTGCCAATGCCTGCAATTCGTTTGCTTGTTGTACTGCCCTCTGCTGCCCACCATGTCACCCAGCAGCCCGATGACAACCTGTTTGGAGCACGGTAGGGCACCCAGACTCAACGCTTCTTTTGGCTTCCGAAATCCGACAGGGTCGGTAATATTAGGGGTGATTAGGTCATCGCTAGCACAGATCTTATTACAAATGCTTAATTCGAAATTCTATTCATGATTTTCACAGCATAATTAACCATTAATTTTAAAGCCCATTCACAATTTAGACCATTCAGTCGTGAAACTATGAACGAAAAAGTTTATACTTTTCCAACACAGAAAATTTTATAATGAGCTTTTTTGAGAAGTGGTGCAAGTGAATTGCCACAGATCATCAGCAATGCTGCTCCCGACTGAAGCCCTTCAAGCGACAAGCGAACGGGTCCCAACCCTGTCTTTTCCACTGCAGGAATCGAAGCAGCAGCCGGCAGGCAATTGGAATGCATGAGGAAGGACGTTCAGCGCAATGCACCAGTTCAAGGTAAAATTTTGCCAGTCGCTTTCAAATGTAGTCACTTGTTTATCTGGTGGTCAATTACCTCTCCTTATCGCTCCTCAATCGCTACCAGCATGGTTACCAGTCTCGTAAACCTCACCCCATTGATTCTTACACCCGTGTTGAGGATTCGGTTAACCATACTGTGTTCGGCCACTACAATGCATTACAAAAATCACGACCCTTTTCTGCTTTTTTTCCCACCACATTGGTCAACTTTTAAATTCCTTTCCATTGTAATTTTTTGACCAAGTTGCTGGATACAGGAAACATTAACTCTCATCCATGGTGCTGTTTGTTGCTAGCCATTTTGGCATTTTAGAACTCTGTGGACCTATGTGTTAGATAACTGTATTTTACAACACAAAAAAACCCCAACATTTCCACAAATCAACAACAACTTACCCTCTCGCTCTGGGCTGTAACCAAAACCACAATGCAAAGCAAAGAGCAACACAAACCCTAAACGTTGTGGGACATTTTTTGGCAGTATCAAGGTATGACAAATAACAATAGGGTTTTACCCTTTCTGGCAATAAAACAGTTGTGTTAAGATCTTGACTTAAAGCTTTCATGAATGCAGGAATTCATATTCTTTGGGTCTTTCGGTGAAGCCACATAGATAGAATAAATAATAATAACAATATCATGACGTTTCGATCGCAACACTAGCAATCGTCATCAGGTGAGAAATATAGCGGGAGAGCTGCTGAGAATATATATTGTCTTCTTGGTTCTTTCGGTAAAGTCACGTAGAAGGGAAGTAATAAAATAATAAAAATAAAACATAATAAAACAATTGTTTTATTATGTTTTATTTATAAAACAATTGTTTTATTATGTTTTATTATGTTTTATTTATATTTGTATTATTTTATTACTTCCCTTCTACGTGACTTTACCGAAAGAACCAAGAAGATGAATCCCTGCAGTCACGAAAGCTTTAAATCGAAATATATAGTGTTGCGATCGAAACGTCGTGATATCATTACTATTTGTTCTATCTATGTGGCTTAACCGAAAGACCCAAAGAATAAGGTGTTAAGATGTTCAGATGCCAAATAGATATTAACCACACGTACTTGTGGTGAACATGCAGATTAAATATTCTCTGGTAAGACATGCATTGTCTTTGAAACTGATTGACCCACACCAGAGACAACCTTCTTTATGGCCCAGTCTCACCAGTGTCAGACCAGATGACGCCAAAAGGTGAACACAGTACAAAGACAATGCAGTTATTTCAGCATCATAGCTCGAATTGAGCAGCGATACCTTTCCTTTACAAAAAGTATCTATTTGGTCTTTGACGATCTTCACATCTGTTTTGCCAGAAAGGGTAAAAACCTATTCTTAGTTTTCAAATCCTAAACAGCAGCCCACGAGTAAAAGGCTACTGTTGTTACAAGTCACTCAGGTTTCATCCACAGTTTTGTATTTTGCACTTTTCATATTTAACCTGTGCCTGTAAAATGTGCGATGAAGGTGCAAATCGTTTGATCAGTCCTTTCTCTTTCTTCACTGTTCTGCTGTTCAAATGACCCAAGGTTCAGCATTAATGACGCTGTGTTCAAACTCACTTATTCAAGCCCGCGATGAATGGAGTAAAAAAATGCAAAAGGAAAACTATAATTATTCCATTAAAATAATGATTCAGTTGAACGAACAACACGCCACTGACAGTTTGCAACATCCTTATATTTAACAGTTGCGTCATGCATCACAATGAGTTACTTGAAAATGGCATTAACCTTGTCCTCAATTACATTTTATTCTGATTAAAATCACCGAGTGGATTGGCTGTTCATGTTTATTCTATTAACCATTAAGAGCACTTATTGCATTAGGCAAGCAATCTGCGTTTTAATTGCACCACAAGTTAAGGGGCATTGCTTCGTCAGACATAGCCAATTTGTGCAAGAGCAGCTAGCATTAGGCCAGCAGGCAAATTGTAATTTGCAGTTCTGAATAAACTACTGAAAACTGCTGCGAGTGCAATATTAAGAGCTTGCTCTCGGCTTATTCAAATTGTTTGATAATCATCGGACTGTGCGACAAACCAGAGTTTGGCGTTTGTCCTGTTAAATCACCGAAGCCGACAACAGTTCTTTATTCTAAACGTCCGCTCACATTTCACATGATTGTAGACATAGTGGGAATACAGTGCAGGTGACTGCAGCTGAACTGCAATCCACTCACCCTCAGTACCCAGTGATCCACTCTCCCCCCTGCTCAGCAGGAGTGATTCGGGTTCCAAAAAGACAGAAGCCACAGACTCGGAGGGTCTGGGTGGCTCTTCAGAAGCGACTTCAGTCTCCAGCGCCAGCACGGTCTGTGAACATTTAAGTAAGCATCAACATGTGAACTATTAGAATTGTTTTTTTACCCTTTTATCTGGCAACAAAACTGACACCTTTTTTACAAGGAGTCATGTTTGCATTGACCACAATACCTGCGGTCGGAATGCAAACAAAAAACACAACTCGGATAATGTATGCACTGTCCTTGAAACCAATTATCATATTTTGCTACTGGCAAAGGAGGTTCCAATGGTGTAAATGCTTACCCCGAGCTCTAATACTCTGATGGTGCATTGTCTTTGAGTTGTGCGCCTTTTGGCGTCATCTGGTACAACACCTTGTGACACTAGGCTCTGAGAAAAGCTGTCTCGGGTGTGGACCAATCAATTTCAAGGACAGTGCATACATTATCAGAGTTGTGTTTTTTGTTTGCATTCTGACCGCAGGTATTGTGGTCAATGCAAACACGAGTCCTTGTAAAAAAAAGGTGTCAGTTTTGTTGCCAGATAAAAGGGTAAAAAAACAATTATCATATTTGGCTACTGGCAAAGGAGGTTCCAATGGTGTAAATTATTATTCGACGTGTCCTCTTTCAAAAGGTATGCATGGCTGGACCAGATGTTTGAACTTGGCACTGCCCACTCTACGTCCCGCCCCCTATCACCAACAAGATTATGTTCGGTGAAATAAAAAATACCCAATGACTGGCATGGTATGGGGGAGGCCTTCATCCAGCAGTGGATAAAGAAAAGGGCTGCGATTTACGATTACAATGATTACATTTAAAACTACTTAAACTCAATGTTTTTATTTTTTATTTTACCAGATAATGGGTCCACTGAGCTGTACAACTCTTTTTCAGAAGCGATTTGGCCACGAATTATAGCTCAACGAATTGGCTTATCCTGTGGAAATTTATAGCAGCCAAATACTCTAAACGCACGTTTCAAAATGTGGAGCGGAAAAACCGGAGGGCCCGGATAAAAAATCCAAGCGTCCAGGGGGAGAAAATGCAAACTCCAAACATTCAGGCGTCAGGGTTGGGATCGAACCCACAACCTCCTGTATACCAGGTGAGGGTGTTAACATCTTTACTCTTTGTTTTTTTTGGTAAAGTCACGTAGGTAAAAAACAAAATAGAAATAAATTAAATCATTATTTAAATCCTTTTCTTTATCCACTGCTGGATTTAAAATCATGATTTAATTTATTTTTCTTTTCTTTTTTACCTACGTGACTTAACCGAAAAAAACAAAGAATATGGGACCCTTGCAGTCACGAAAACTTCTAATCTAGAATTAGTTAACGTCTCGTCACCGCGATGCCATATAAACCGGGCATCCACAGAATAACTCGACGCAGCGCGGATTCTAAAACACCGCGTTCACTTTAAAAGCGTTCACATTATCTGGAAATGTTCGCTCTTTGTGGACCCACCTTTTGCACCACGCTGACGGGGGGCAGCGGCGGGGGCGGCGTGACAGCCGCGACGGGTGGCAGTGGTACAGCCTCCGTGACGGGCGCCTCGCTGCGGTTCACAGCCTCCTCCGCTTCCGGCGGCCCAGCAGCCTCGACTGCCTCAACGCCATCAACATCGCCCGCTCCCTACACACAGGCACAGTCCACACAACCCCGTCGGTTGCGCATCCTGGCTGCGGAAGGGCATCTGAGAGGGCGCGATGCGGCGACCGTCTTTAGCCATCGAACGAAGACGGTCACTGCATCGCGTGCTCTTTGAGATGCGCTTCTGCGGCCGTCTGGAACGCTCTTCCTGCTGATATTAGGAAGCCACTGGAGCTATGTACTTTTAAATCATCTAGATTGAAAACTAATTTCATTAGAACTGCTTCTTGTGCTTCATTTTTTAACCTTCTGCCGCACATCTGAATAGCACGGTTGGCTACGTATGGTGCAAAAGAAGCTCAACATACATACATCTCCAGTGGGCGTCATAGGGGCACAGTTTAAATGTATAAGAGGCTTCTAGTCAGAGCAGTCTTCTCTACTTTCACTCTAGTCAATACCGAATATTTTTAATGTCGATGACGAAACTACTACCCTGTGAATTTGGTCTTTACTATAATATTGGTATATTTGTTCTCCAAGTTAAATCGACAATAATATTTGTCCATTATGCGTCTTGGCTTTCTCCGTTCCTTTTTCCTTCCACTTTTCAAAACATCGATTAGTTTCTCCAGGCATTCCCCATCACACCCAGCCCTGTGTCCAAAACATTTGGGTTTCTGTCTCTATTATGGTGTACGGCCTAACTTTCTGACCATTCTCTAGCAGTACACTTTTTTTTCTCTCCAGAACCATATTTTTCCTCCACTGTTTGCTGTTGCCTAGTATCAAGAGGCCAGTGGGGTACAACAAAGTAAGCGCTGTGTTGAGTGTACAGCAACGCACAAAGATGAGCCGAATTTAATTCACCAGATGAGCAGCCTTTAACGCCCGAGTGCATCTCTCCTTACCTCCTCTGCGCCTGTGGCCTCATCGGAGGTTTTGTTTTTCTTCTTCTTTTTCTTGTTCTTCTTTTTGGGTTTGGCTCCGGTGGTTTGCTGCGTTGCCTCCGACTTCTCCTCGTCATCCGGAGAAGCCTCAAGATGCAAAAAAAAGCAATGACTGGCATTAGTGGAACTCACTGCTTATCGCTCGTAAAAAGAACACTCAAACGCAGGTAATAATAAGGGGCACAGGGATGATTTGAATTTCGTTTAGTGTCATTAGAACCTCCAGATCCATGCTGTCATGTAATGTGAACATTTAGTCATTAACAAAACAAGTACGTATTGGCTGAAAGGTAAATATGCCAATGTCGGTATATGTACAGCCCTTTGTAAATCCACTATTGGATGAAGGCTTCCCCATGCTGTGTCAATCATGGAGGTTGTCTGACCATACTTCACCACGCTGGTCAGTGCGAGTTGGTAAAGCGAAGGAGGGGGAGCATCATGGCTGGTTCAGACATAATTTGCAACTGATGTAAGCATTGGCTGTGCCTTGTACTCAGCTCACTGGGCTCACATCTCTGTATGCTAGTCGCTGGACGAAACAAAAGGAAATGCAATATTATAATCATCACTCTGCACGTGTGCTCGGCTAAATAGTCAACATGCATAACTGTGCACACATTATAGGCACTGCTCAGCAGATGTTTGCGACCGCTCCCCGGGGTGACCCCGTGATTCACGTGCGCAAGGGCTTACCTTTCCATTCTCTCCCTCCATCGCCTCCGTTTCTGGGGCCACTTGAAGCGGAGGCTCCACCGGGTTTGAGGCAGCCCACTCCTCTTCTGGGAAACTCCAGTCCGGATTTTGGACGGACGATTTAAAGTCACCTGTTTGAAAAAAACACATTTGAACAAAAGAATGTCCCCACCCCAGTTAAAAATGTATGGCACGATCATCGTTATCATCATCCATGAGCAATCGACTGTTGCATCGATCGCCACAGTGCTACCATGTACCAATCCACCAAAGCACCTGCAAACCAGCTGATATCATCTCATCTCCACGACCATATTGCTTTGCTCGCATGCAACACTCATCGGCACCTGCGATAACATTCAATTATTTGTTTAAACTCCCGCAAAATTATAGTAAACCTAGATGATAATGGCTGTGTTGTTATATTGTCTTGAGTATCTATAAAATTACCCAACACAAAACATAAAGCGCTAAAATATTATCTGCCACTGTGGTCAGCGTCGACCATCAGCCACATCCTGCCCAAGCCCACTTACTTTTCTTAACAGTGAAAGTTACGTCTTTAACATGCATACATCCTCTCAGCCATCCATCCATCTTTCCGTCTATTATAACGCAAGATATAAAATGTATAAATGTGCATATGAATGCTATTTGCCTCAATCCTGTGCCTTTTATCTATTGTGATTGTTTACAACACAGACAGCAATTGCCATGGCACATGCACACGAGCAATTCTGAATCAACTTTGGCCAACTACCGATTGTCCAGCGCTAATGCACTCCCGAAAAACAACGATAATTTCACCTGAAGACGGAAGCTTGTGTTGCCTCCATAACGTCGTTATTTAATTTATTTGTTTTTCACTTATTTATTTTTTACCTACGTGACTTTACCGAAAAAACCAAAGAGTATGAATCCTTGCAGTCCACGAAAACTTCAAATCTAGAACTATAATTTGTGCATACATTTCATTGGACAAGTGACAATTTGTTTATTATTTGAGATTACAGTGTCATACTTTGGACACAAAAGCACCCTTTACAGATGTTTCCAAACACTGTGCTCATACAGCAACTCAGAATGTCACCTTTCATTATCATTTTTGGCCAAGTAGCCTCCCCTCTGCTCTCTATAATAAAACTTTAATAACTTATCTTAGTCTGCATATTAATTTAGACTTGTTAGCTTCAGTCTTTGTTGGTTAGTCATAGCTATTATCACACCTCGATAATTTTCGTCCACCTGTAGTCATCATTGACTAAAATAAAACGCCTTTTTATGAATATATTTTTTTGGGACCTTTTTGCCAGTATATGTCAATAAAACAGTTGCAATGATCTTCAAACACCGGATACCTTTTGCAAGGCATCAAATCTGCATTGACCACACATACTTGTGGTAAAGCATGAAAAAAAACATGGTCTGATAATATATACATTGCTTTGAAACTAAATTGGCCTACACCAGGAGACGATGCGTACATTATCGCTTTGTTTGCATGTTTTGCCACAAGCATGTGTGGTTAATGCAGCCTTGATGCCTAGCAAAAGGTGTCTATTTGGTGTTTAAACATTTTAATACAAGATTTGAAGTTTTCGTGACTACAAGGATCCATACTCTTAGTTCTTTCGGTAAAGTCACGTAGGTGAAAAAATAAAAAAAATATTATTTCTATTTTTTTTCTTCACCTACGTGACTTTACCGAAAGAACCAACAGTATTTTAATACAACTCCTGTTATAGTGCCAGAAAGGGCAAAACCTCGAATTATGTTGTTTAGTCGTTTCGATACTGGCACAAAAAGGTGTCCCCCCCCCCATGAATATATATTTTCACCACGACTTTAACCCCGCCCCCACCTTCCACGCTCCAGGCGTCATCCACGATGGGAGGGATGGCGGTGGTGGCCCCACCGGCTCCAGGGGCCCAGCCTGGGGGAGGAGCCAGGGGGGGAGCGGCAGCTGGAGCAGACACCTGTGCTGACGCTGCCTTGTCTGCGACGCCTGCGCACGGATGGGCACACGTCCATTTGATTGAAATTCAGCTTTGCGCGTCCACAAACACGTGCAGGCATCGCGTGACGTGCAGGCACGGTAACGTATGTACAATAAAACCTTGGATTGCGAGCATAATTCGTTCCGGAAACGTGTTTGTAAGCCAAAGCACTCGTATATCAGTTGTGATCACGTGACGCTCGGCAGACAAAGCGTATAGGCGTGCTACTCGTATTGCAAGACCTCGCTCGTTTATCAAATTAATATTTATTTAGAAATGTTGCTGGTCTTGCAAAACACTCGCAGACCAAGTTAATCGCAATCCAAGGTTTTACTCTATGTATGTAAGGATGTTGAACTTCTTTCGTACCATACACAACCAACCGTGCTAAACAGAGGTGCGGGAGAAGGAGAACAAACTTAATTCAAAAAGCAGTTCTAAAATAACTTCATTTTAAATCTAGAATTAAAAGGCACGCATCATGTCCTGCTCGAAAACTCATTTTCAAGAAACGTCAAACATTATGAACACATTTTTTCTCTCCAATAAATCTCAAAATCTTTCCGATACTTATGACTTTCTTTGTTTGGAATAGGTTAAGGTGCAGCCCTGCAATTAGATTTGCTAATACCACTGCTGGTGGAAGGGCATCCATAAGAGTGAGCTTAAGAGGATATTTGGCCTACTCTTCCATGCTGACCAAATGTTTGTGAAGAGGTGGGAGAATGCACACTTTATCCTATCATACATGACCTGCAGATCTACTTAAGGTGCTCAATATTTGACGAATGTCATGTGCACAACATGAGAGTACAAATAATGGTGCTGCTACCTGGCATGGTCGCTTTGATCAGCTGGGCTGGCATGACGCTGTAGCTCAGGTGTGGAGGCTTTGGGGCAGCTGCAAGCTCAGCATTATTCCACGTGCCTGCCAAGCAGCAATGAGTGTATTCAATTGCGATTTCAATGGCAAAGGGCGCTCATAATGTGCACACAATATGTACAAACATTACCAATGATTTATTGAATACCATGTCATTTTGCTTAAAATTTGAGAACCAAAACCAGGAAAAGCATGAGCAATAAGCCAAAACAATTTTTTTTGGTAAATTTTCTAAATGCATAAATTCATCTGGAGGGTGAAAAAAACCCATTTAATTGCTTTGTTGTGATTACTTTCTAGACACCTATTAATGGATGGAAGTATGATATATTTGAAAATCATCGAACCACAACTGATTTACTGAAACAAGGTCTATTTTCAACATCATTATCATACCGATATTGATGGACTGTAAAATATTTCTGCAACCTTTCTACTTTTAACTTGGGTTATCTTGAGAAATAAAAACGGTTCGAGAATGAGCCCCTATTTCCCTGCACCCGACTGGACATCTGTGAAAATGAGCTTAATAGCTCATCGGATTCCCCCAGTGTAAATGAATCTGATTCTTTCCTATGTGGACGGCCACATTGACAACATGGCACCGAGGGTGGTACCGTAGACAGTTTACATTCTCAAGATCTAAGACTAATGCATACAATGGTTAAACGTGTAAATCCCTGTGATTTAGCAAATGCAGTATAATGTCGAATATCCAACCCATTGGGGACTGAGGTATAGGTGGATATGTGAAAAGGTTGGATATGTGCACATCTGTAAAAAAATACGCTTACAACCACATGAATAAAACGCAAACTGCTTTAAACATGGGAAAAGCTTAGCTGCTTTGGAAGTAAGGAAATGTACATGAGAATAAGAACACACTGCTGCGTGTAAAAAGGTCAGACATGTGGACATGTATAATTACACCAAGCACAAACACCACACTGGGTGCGGGCAGGTTTTTTTATGGCCGGATATGCAATGCTCTCATTGTAAAAACACAAATAAAACCACGCACTTTGCCACTCACCCATGTTGGCAAAAACGTCGTCTTCGCCGCACACCCTGGCGGGCGGAGGCACAGGGCCCGGCCCAGCCCACTCGCGATGGACCCCGCTAGCCTCGGCCGGGGTGGGGCCCCACACCGAGGCATCGTCCGTGCCGTTGACCCCGCTGCCCTTTTCCACGGCTCCCCCGGGGGGAACGGCAGCGACGACGGCGGCGGTGGAGGCGGTGACGGCCGTGACGGCCGCGACGGCGGCGGCGGCAGGAACGGAAGCCAGCGCGGGGCCACCGTCTACGCCACTCCCCACAGCCCAGCCCGGCACACAAGCATTCAGAGTGGCCCGGGCGGTGGCGGTGGTGCTCTCAGCATCCACACACGGCGTTCCGCTGGGGGCAACCAAGCCACTGCCGGTGCCGCTGCCCGACGCCCATCCTTGTTCTGCCCAAGCAGAAGCAGTGGGAACCCTACCGGCTTGAGGTGGCACCCAACCCAGGGTGCTGCTGCCGCCGCCACCACCTACAGAGAAGCAGCGTCGAGAGGAATTGCAATATACAGCGTACGAAAGTGTCAGAATTGGTTTTGCATGTGTTGCGTAAAGGTGTAAATTCAAAATTTGTGGATTCCAACATTAAGTGGTGTATGCAGAAAGTGCGTTATAATGTACAGTGTATTATAATTGTCTTAATTTAGATAACACATATATTGTGTGCTTTACAATGATATTATTGGGTTACAATTACTCTGAAAATAAATAATCCATGTTTCCCATATTAAACACCATGAAATATCACATCCTATGATTTTTTTTTTTAAACTGCCGTTACAAGCCCTTACAAATTAAACTAAAACAAGATATTGGTATATATTTAAAAAACAAGCTCATAAAAAACTTTACCACAAGAATAATGAGCGTCAGTAATACCATTTATGGCGACTGGAGAAGGCTTTGGATTTGGGCTTCCTTCCCGGCGAAGGGTGTGGTCTGCTGCAAACGAGTAACAAGATACGAGCACTCGTAATAAATATACACGGACGGCCAAGAGGAGAATTAAATGCGCAGTGTTATCTTCAGCAGTCTCATTTTCATTTGTGCAAAACAGGCTGACATTTTCACAAGGCCATTGCAAATTGATCCCACTGCTGCTTATTGACACAAAGGCAAATGCAGCTATATTTTACAGAGCTTGACTTTAAGCAAACACCACAACTTAAAAATCGTATCCAGCCGAAGGCAAAATATTTTGAAATACCTTTGGCGAGTCACACGTAAACATGCACTTCAGTCATTTCAATCACTCCAATTGACCAATAATTAATATTGTCTGTAGGTCAATTCAAATTGGTAGGCTTCATCATATATATATGTACACACACACACATTATAGAGTGCTTTAACCAAGGCGCTGTACAGTCAACTATGGTACAAGATGTTTGGCGACATGAAACGTGATGAGTGGAAGGGACATGTAAAATCAGGCGGTGGTGACGATACATGGAATAAACAAAGTTGGAAATGAGATGAGTGGATTGATGATGGGTGACCATGGGGAGTTGGGGACAGGGAAGGCGTTAGTATGAGTGGGGAGGAGAACAAGGGGAGAAGGAAGGGTGGTGATATTATGTTGCAAGCCTTATCCAATCCTTGCGCCATACGTTACCCACTAATGAGCTAAGGTTTTCAGTATTATCAACCACTGGTAATCCAATCCTGAATGAAGGCCTTCTCAAGCCACCATATCTCATGATCCTGATGTAATAAACCATCTAGCACAAGAGTTTATTTTATCGCTCCATCTCCTTGCACTGTTACTCCATCATTATTCATGACCATCAGCTGTTATCCCTTCTGGTGACATGTCTTGCCCATGCATGGCATAAGAAAGTACACCAACCAGTGTTAAATTTAAACAAAGCCAAGGACAAATACACAAGCAGCGTCAGACATTTTATTTAGTGTTCGGGAGCACCAGTATTCAGACGCTGTCTTTCCGACAGACCTGTTCTTCACCTGAGGACGGCTGCTTGCGTTGTGGCCGAAACGTCGTGAGAATTATTTTATTATGTTTTATTTTTATTATTTTATTATTTCCCTTCTACGTGACTTTACCGAAAGAACCAAGAACATGAATCCCTGCAGTCACGAAAACTTTAAATCGAAAAATGGAGCACCAGTAAGTTCACATCTCTCGGTTCAGATACCTGCAGAGTTGGATGGGCGGCTTCGCTGTGAAGCTGCAGCAGGCTTCGCAGGCCCATCGGGAATACTGCCGGCAGAAGTGGACGTGGGCACGGGTGGGGTGAGCTGACCCGGCTGCTCCTTTCCTCGCTTCTCCTTTTTCTGCTGCCGCTTTTCGCGCACGCTTACTTTCGTCTCCCAGTTGCCTGCAAGGTATCGACAAGGAATGTTTAGTGAACGCGGAAGATGGCAGCCTTCACATGGGCCATCGACAAGGAATGTTTAGTGAACGCGGAAGATGGCAGCCTTCACATGGGCCACTCTGTTAAGTGAGAAATCAGGATGCAAGCTACTAATGCGGCGACCGAACATCGAACATCGATCTCCTGGTCTCGAGAACAACAACACACACATTACAGTGGCGGAAATGGTTTTCCAGAACCGTGATATACTCGTAAACTACTGCATATGTGCCGTGTGACTCTTTCGATGTGTTTCGAGTGGTATTGTTTGCTGTTCCACATGTACAATATGTTGTCCAGCATGCACTGTACTTGTTTAATAATTTTTATTTCCTGCATAGGATGCCATAAACAGCTTTAAAAATCATGACAGATAACAGCTTTCACAGTTAACGGATTTAAAAACTCGTGCTCAACAGTAAAAAAAAAAGCAGAAATGTTACACCCACGTGTTTCCTGATATATTCCTAAATAAGAACCAATTCCACTAAAAATTTGAATGTAAATTTCCCAGCTGTGGTAAACTAAAATGGAAATACGGGAAATTGCTTTTCAATCGGTGAACAATGGCTAACAACTGAAACAATAGGCATCAGACAATTTCATCACTGAATCATACCCTCACTTGTTTCATCGTCTTGCAAGTCGGACGAATGCTTCTGTTCTGCTTTTGACTTTTTCTTTGCCTTCTTAGTCTGTGCCAGGAAGTAATAAAAAAAACGAGAAAAAATTCAGACGTTGGTATGCTGGTCAAGGTCGGCTACTAGGCATAACTGCCACATTAAAAAACCAACAATACCAACGCAAATGCAAACCCAGCCAAGGTTACCGCAATGAGTCTGCATATTTGAGATAAGAATACAGATGTTAAAACGTTTTATTTCACAGGCCCGACTTACCGTAGAAAATAAACTGGAAACTTTTGTTTCTGAACTGTGTTAATGCACTCTCTAATTTCCAATACATTAGCTTATCACTGACATGACTCTTAGTGTGCAGTACTTTTTAAACTTTTGTTATAAACAGGGCTAACAAACAAGTTAGTTTTTAACAATGAACTATAAACCGCTCTGTTAGAAACCCATTGTATTAAGTGCAGATGTTCACTTTGTGTTAAAGCCTCTTAAGGACACGTGCACATTTTCCATTCTATTTATTGATTTAAAGTGTAATGACTAAGTTCAACAACACTGCCTTTTAGTGATCACAATATGTTGCTCAATAAGCTTGGTTACATTGTCATATATTATGCATCTCTTGGACAGTCGAGCATTGCTCCAGGTTACAAATGGGTCCTTTGGAGACGAAATAAAAGGATTACCTTTTCTCCCGTTTTCTCAAGTTGCGACGGAGAGGCGGGGCTCCTGACAGCCGAGACTGGGGATGATCGTCTCTTTTCCACAGCTTCTCTTTCAGACTGGGGAGTCAGCGCCTTCCCATTAACCTGCTGCTTTGTCACTTGCTACACACACACGCCTAATTAAAATCTGTTCTCGTTAGGAGCGGTCACAACAGTTGTCCCCCCCCCCCGCCCACCTCAGACATGCGCACAGTCGACAAGCCAATGCATCTGTAATTGCGACAAAACGTAGGGATAAATCTGGGTTGGCTTAATTGGTAAACCATTGTTGAAAGTTATTTGTAGTTATGTTGCAATGAATGCGGGCAGCAGACGGCGGCAGTGACCTTTCATCTGTGTGACCTTGCCTGGCAAGGATTCGATGTATGTAGGACGAGAAGGCAGAAGAAAAGGTGGGAAGTGGTGTTGCACTGATGCTGTGATTTCCACGTGAGGATATTAAAACAAATATTTCACGTGTGCCCAAATGCGATATCAAATAAACCACGCAATTTCATATCTGCTGTCCGTGTCAGAATGTGCTTAATATTTCGACTGCTTCTATATAAACCTCCATCAAGTGCTTCTCGGTAATAATAACAACATTTGTGAAACACAAAAAAGAAGAGCGTATCAACCCGCAAAGATATTTTGAATTTGCAATTTTACATGTCAGGTTCAAATACAATGTGAACAATGATGACATTACACATAGAAAGGACAGGAAAGACACATGAAGATGATGATGATATAAGTAACCTTGATTTGCCAAATCTGCCCAGATATGAATTAAAACACTGCTACATTTACAAATAATTTTAGGTTTACTACTTAGTACGTGACACCGCCCTTATACATGACACAACAGCCATGACCTCTTCAAACATATTTTAATGCCAAACTTCCTGTACAGTATATAAACCCTGCTGCTGTATAAATAGCACAACCAGTTCAACCATTCCTTTTTTTTAAACGACAACAGGTCAAGGAAACGGACTCTGATGTCAATTCCTCAAAGTTGGCGTTATCTCATCGGCCAGACTTTAACTAAAGAATTCGAACTCAAAACTGCATATGGTGGCACGATGGCCAACCAGAGTACATGCGACGTTGTGTAAATGCACATGGATGCAATGAGCACGCCAGGCCGAATAAGTAGGCCATGTAATTCTACACCAGGTGTAGTCGGCACAATAAATGCTTATCACCGTTAAAAGCCACTGGGGGGTAAGAATTCCAGCACGGAAATGCAAATACACGGTACTGTATCACAGAATGAGCATGCCTGGACTATGTACAAACATGCCCTATTCAAGACGCACCGTTGGATCATGCAACGACCCAAGCTCGGACAAAATGTGCACACGTGTCCCATTCAATTGAACGGGGTCACCGCGTTCTCATCGCTCGTTGAATAACAACAAAAAAGTGGAGACTTCTTGTTAATGTGAACACACCACAGAGCACGTTGCTGTCAAAACGTGGCATGTTCCAACGTCAGTTGACGTGCACGGTCCTGGTGTCAATTCACTGCTAGGCGAGGTCCTCCCCATACTCTTCGGGTGATGGAAGTTTTTTTGTTACTGTAATTCACGACGCAGGTTGGCAAATTGCGGGGATTACAACAAACGTGGCAGCATCCAAGTGCAGAACAATTAAATGTCGCTGCACTGCCCACTACAGCCCATCACATAGACCCGCAGGCCTCTGGGCAATGTTTGTGAATGGTGGTAACCCATCATCCGGGCTAAAACCTGCTTAGCTTCCGAGATCGATCATCCAAATCACCCAGCACGCACCCAAACACACCAGGACTGCACTATTCATTAATCGGATAGGTCGATGATTAGAAAATATTTAATGTTGGAAACCGTGGACATTTCTCGTCCCGGTTAAGTGACGAGCGCGTAGTCAAATGTGCTCATCGACAAGACTTCCACGTTCCTGTGTCATGACCAAATGTGCCCCAATACAACATCCAGTTGGTTGGCTTTAACGTACCAAGCGTTTCCACCCAATCGTGATAATGCACTAATTTGACAGATCCTATTGTGGAAAACGACGATGATGAGAGAGTGTTTGGGGACGATGATACCGTTCTGTACGATCTTGTACACGTGTCAATTCGCCGCTTGATGTGGCCTCCGCACGCCACGTGAGTCACGGCTGTTATTTGACCATACTTCACCACGCTGATCGATGACGACACGGATGATGTTGATGAGTTTAATGAAGATACCAATAAAATTTAGGAAGACTGATGGTGATGATAATGACGAGAATGAAAAGAATGGTGGTTCATGGGACTAGTCCTCTTGTATAACGATTATCGTGGGTCAAAACGATGAAAATACGAATACAGTAATGATTGAGATAATTACATGGCGAGTGACAATTACTTAATTGGTTGTGTTGAAGTTTCCACGAATGATCGAGGCCACACGAGATTGTACATGACAAAAAAAACCCAGTGATGATAACGATGAATAAAGTGAATAATTTGTCTAACAACCACATTGAGGGGTTTGTCTGGTATTCAACAGCTACTATTAGGTAACCATGTATCTTCCTATAAAAAAATGTGGTTATAAGCAAACATTAGTTTTTTTACATTAACACCAGTCCCACGTGGTGTAAAACTCAGTATTTACCCCTTATTAAACTCTCTCTCTCGTCCCTATTTGTGCTCTTAAGAAGGTCAATTGCCCGAAACGTCACCGATTATATATATTATTTTAATATGGTGGTGTTGTTCACGAGTATATGCAGCCAATCGTTCCTTGCGTGTGTGCACCCCCCACTGCGAACGCCACAAAAAAAAATACCAAAACGAAGAAATCTCTCGCACGGGGTTCCGTTGTTGTATCGACAACGTGGCAAACTGAAAACCCTCAAAAACAAGGACCCACAACCTCACACCGTCAACGTTGGGTCACTGTGCAGTGCCAATACCTTTACAATACCAACATCATCATCATCAGCAGCATCAGCAGCAGCAAATGGTCAATCCACTGCTGGATGAAGGCCTTCCCAAAACCACACATCTGGCAAATCATGACGGTCCTGTTAGCAAATGCACCTTGGGCAGCTTCGGCATTACGAGCGAATCTAATCTCTCAGGCTTCTCCCGGCACGATACCTGAAACGTCAACTACAACATGCTTTGGCATTACATTGGAAGGTTTTAAAGAACGAGGGGGGGCACGTAGATTATAGTAGTTATATAAGCAGGCTAAGAGGCGATGTTTGAAAATTGTTCATCAAAGTGGGCTTGGGTAGGACGACGTCGGGTCTGGATGGGCTGATGGAGGATGGTCAAGGGGCAGCTCAGGGAGGTTAACGCGAACGATAGAGGTGATGGTGATGGTTTAGGGAAACATTAACCGAGGAGATGGAGCGATGGAATGAGATCGTGGCCAAGTTACACGCGCGACAACGCGAGAGATGGCGACGGCGTGGTGTGGAGGGCCTTCATCCAACAGTGGAGTTGGCTGACCCACGGCTCATAGCCACCGCTGATAATTACACGTTAACACACAAAATCACACGCACAAATATAACATAACCCACTCGCCTTGACTGCAGCTCGCTCCTTTCTCCTCCTCACACTCGCCTCGTCTTCCGGAGACCGCGGGGCCCCGCCACTAGGCCGCGCCTCATCCCCGACCTCGCCTGATCGCTCTGCGGGAATGGCGCCGCCTTTCCCGGCGGCGGCGAGGCCCCTTTGACGGCCTCCCCCTCGCCGACCTCGGCGGCAGAGAAAGACGGAGAAGAAGAAGACGACGACGAAGACGACGAGGCCCAGGCCCAGCCACGAGAGGACGGCTTCGTGAGTCCCGAGGAGTCGTCCTGCGTCGGCTGCGAGACGTTCCCCGGTGGAGCCGAGCCACAGACTGAAGCTCTCGGCCCAGGTGCCACGCATGGTGACTCCTTGCTGCGTCTCGTTCACCTCTCTGCTGCTGCTTCTTCTCGTTCTCTGTCGTTAGTTGTTCCTTCTCCTCCTGCTCCTACTCCTTAGTCTACTCCCGACGTGGCTTCCCCCCCCCCACCCCGACTATTCTACATCCCGTGGGCACGTACTACGTGGCCTGACACTGCCCCGTGGTGACTGTGATGAGAAGTGGGGGGGGGTGCTGAGCCACTGTAAGCACTGCCCAGACACCACGGGGTTGTACAGGATGTGTGCTGTGTGTACTGTGTGTACTGTGGGGGTGTACTGTGGGTACTGTGTGTGTGTACTGTGGGTGTACACTGTGTGTACTGTGGGTGTACACTGTGTGTACTGTGTGTACACTGTGTGTGTACTGTGTGTACACTGTGGGTGTACACTGTGTGTACTGTAGGTGTACTGTGGATGTACACTGTAGGTGTACTGTGTGTACACTGGTTGTGTACTGTGTGTACTGTGTGAGTACTGTGTGTACTGTGGGGGTGTACTGTGTGTGTATACTGTGTGTACTGTGTGTGTGTGTACACTGTGTACTGGGTGTGTACACTGTGTGTGTACTGTGTGTGTGGGTGTAGTGTGTGTACACTGTGTGTACTGTGTGTGTACTGTGGGTGTACACTGTGGGTACTGTGTGTGTGCTGTTTGTACACTGTGTGTACTGTGTGTGTACACTGTGTACTGTGGGGGTGTACTGTGTGTGTACACTGTGGGTGTACTGTGGGGGTACACTGTGTGTACTGTGTGTGTACTGTGTGTACACTGGTTGTACTGTGTGTACTGTGTGTACTGTGGGGGTGTACTGTGTGTACACTGTGTACTGTGTGTGTACTGTGAGGGTGTACTGTGTGTACACGGTGTACTGTGTGTGTACACTGTGTGTACTGTGGGTGTACATTGTGTGTACACTGTGTGTACTGTGTGTGTGGGGGTGTACTGTGTGTACACTGTGTACTGTGTGTGTACACTGTGTGTACTGTGTGTGGGTGTGTACTGTGTGTACACTATGTGTACTGTGTGTGTACACTGTGTGTGTACACTGTGTGTACTGTGTGTGTACACTGTGGGTGTACACTGTGTGTATTGTGTGTGTACACTGTGTGTACTGTGTGTGTACTGTGTGTGTACACTGTGTGTACTGTGTGTACACTGTGTGTACTGTGTGTACACTGTGTGTGTGTACTGTGTGTGTACTGTGTGTGTGTACTGTGCGTGTACACTGTGTGTACGTTGTGTACTGTGTGTGTACTGTGGGTATACACTGTGTGTACTGTGGGTGTACTGTGTGTGTACACTGTGTGTACTGTGTGTGTACACTGAGTGTACTGTATGTGTACACTGTGGTTGTGCTGTGTGTACACTGTGTGTACTGTGTGTGTACTGTGTGTGTTCTGTGTGTACACTGTGGTTGTACTGTGTGTGTACTGTGTGTGTACACTGTGTGTACTGTGTGTGTGTGTGTGCACTCTGTGTACACTGTGGTTGTACTGTGTGTACACTGTGTGTACACTGTGGTTGTACTGTGTGTACACTGTGGTTGTACTGTGTGTACACTGTGTGTGTACTGTGTGTGTACTGTGGCTGTGCACCCACGGCAAATAAACAACGATGTAATAATAATGTGTCTGTGAATACCCTGTGCCAACTTCTCACACGCTGTGTGTCTGTGTTAATCACTTAGATACTTGCAGTATGTGTGCAGTCTGTGTGTTTGTAACCATGCGTGTGTAATGTCTGTGTGTGTGTACTGTGTGTGTACATATATTATGTTTCAGTATTTCATTTATTTGGTATAGCCCTGTGAGCCATTCGGCTCTTCAATCTGGTGCAACCGCAACAAACAAAAAACAAAAACATGAACAAGAAAACATCTTAAAGTGACTATGTGACTATGTGCAAACAGAAAATCCAAGAAAAGACAGCAAAAAAATTGCAGAAAAAGCACCATACACCAATGTTGTGTGCAAAAATCCCAGTGGGATGCAAGTCAAACAACAACAACAACCACAAGACAACTTAGATTAAGGCCATCAGTCTAACTCCGTACCACAACAAACAAAGCATGGCCAAACCCAAAAACTTTTTCGAAATCACCAAAATAAAGCTATAAAAGCAATGTAACAGTGATCATAGAAACTGTGACCGAATATGTGTATAGTGTGTGTGTACTGTGTGCATATCCCACACACTATATCATGTGTGTTTAAAAAAAAGTGGGTGAATTGTATGGGGATATACTGGGTTTTTGTATTTGAATGCACAGTACAGCACGCGTGTTCATCCCGGTAATCAGATCGTCCGTCTATTAACACGCCTAGGGCCGTCCATAAATGACGTCACGCGATTTTGGACGATTTTTGACCCCCCCCCCCCTCTTTGTCACACCACGTCACAAAAAGTCAGACCCCCACCCTCAAATATGACGTCACAAAGCTTTGCCCCCCCCCCAAAAAAAAACACATGCTTCAAATCGCTTAAAACTATTGTCATTGTAGTGCGTATTTAATGTGGCGCTGCACTCTGATGTTGTAGGAGAAAACATTTATTAAAAAGTCTATTTAATTAAGTAGAACGTGTTGTCTATATTTATTTAAAGTTGTGCATTTTGATGTGACGTCACATTTCTCAAACCCCCCCCCACCCCCCTTGTCACACATCGTCACAAATGTCTGACCCCCCCCCCCCCAGGTGCGTGACGTCATATATGGACGGCCCCCTTAACGAGGATTCGGGGTTTAAGATTGCGACACTTAAAGCACGTAAATGTGGTGCCCTTCACGATGCCACGTTACAGCCTCGACTCACTCATCAGTCAACACTCTCAGTGGGGGGGGGGGGGGGGTAGGCAGAGAGGGGGGGGGGATAAGTCAACATTCAACGTTGGGCCAACGTTAGTCTAACGTTTCAAACCACATGCCAACGTCGCCACAACGTTGGCATGCTTACTTGTGGCGGGGGGATGGGGGTGGTGGTGGTGCATGGCTGTCAATTGCAGTGGATTATGCGCGTTTTTTTTAGAACTTCTTTAGCACCGTACGAAAGCCAACCGTGCTAATCGGAGATGCAAATAATTGTTGCTGCTGCTGCTGATGGTTGTGAGACTATTGATTTAATTTATTTTATTTTCTACCTACGTGACTTTACCGAAAGAACCAGAGTATGGATCCCTGCGGTCACGAAAACTTCAAATCTAGATTGGTTATGAGACTGTTTGTGTAGTCACAACCCAGGCAATGTAAGCACACACACACATTGTATGCTGTACTGGTGTGTGTGTATACACGCTATTGCATAATGCACGATCGTTAATGTTCTTATTTTACGTCCCAGTAACATGCAAAATCGGATCAACGTTGGCCATGTTGGCCGGGTGGTTGTGTGCGTGTGTCAAACATTTCAGCAGGAAAACACCCAACAGCAAGCAGAATTGCCTTTTCCTTAACTTGTGAAATGTATCACGAGTGAAATTATCAACACAACACACTGTGCTGTTTAACAATTGTTTACGTTCAAATTTTACACGCGTGTAATATGTCTTAAATATGGTCTAGAACATACAACAATCGTCAAAAGGCAACGTTTAAGTACAGGACTGCACGTGTAATAACTTTTTTCAAACATTCACTTTGATCCAGGTCCTGCCTTCAATAATTATCCCTCCTGGGTACACACACACATTCTGTCCGCTGTTGTAACGCTTCTGACAGATTTCTCGAATTGTTTAGCGAACTTGTTGAACACGCGATCAGATGCGGCGTGTCTGTGTGTAAATTAAGCCATTATTTCTTTGTACTGGAGTGAATAAGGGGCCGTCCATAAATGACGTCACGCACCTAGGGGGGGAGGTCAGACATTTGTGACGATGTGTGACGAGGGGGGGGGGGGTGAGAAATGTGACGTCACATCAAAATGCTCAACTTTAAATAAATATAGACAACACCTTCTACTTATCTTCTTGGTTCTTTCGGTAAAGTCACGTAGAAGGGAAGTAATAAAATAATAAAAATAAAACATAATAAAATAAAATAATATTATTTTATTTAATAATAATAAAAATAAAACATAATAAAATAAAATAATATAATTTTATTTTATTATTTATTTTATTATGTTTTATTTTTATTATTTTATTACTTCCCTTCTACGTGACTTTACCGAAAGAACCAAGAAGATGAATCCCTGCAGTCACGAAAGCTTTAAATCGAAACCTACTTAATTAAATAGACTTTTTAATAAATGTTTTCTCTTACAACATCAGAGTGCAGCGCCACATTAAATATGCACTACAATGACAATAGTTTAAAGCAATTTGAAGCATGGTTTATTTTTTTTTGGGGGGGGGGGGCAGAGCTTCGTGACGTCATATTTGAGGGGGGGGGTCTGACTTTTTGTGACGTCGTGTGACAGGGGGGGGGGTAAAAAATCGTCCAAAATCGCGTGACGTCATTTATGGACGGCCCCTAACCAAAAGTTAGTCAACAAAATAAAAAATGAACCGTGACGCCGGTGGAACGTAATGGCCCACGCTTGCAAAAGACGTCACAGGATCTTTACCGTCCACTTTCAAGCAGACAGCGCGGTAATTACCGGGGCGGCCGTTGGATCCGCACCACGAACCCTCGGCAGTAAGTGGCAAACGTGTTTCGGACGGAGGCCACATCACCGCCCTCGTTGAGTACTAAGTTGCATGTGTATGCATCTGATTTACCCACGTCTTTGTCCATTATTCCCTTTCGTGAGTTCTGATAACGGAGCACAAATTGTGACGAGGTTCTAAATTATTAGACCTCCGTTGCCAGTACCAAAATATAATAATAGGGTTTGTCCCCTTTTGCAGACATGAATCCTCGTAAAAAGGTTTCAGTTTTGTTGGCAGAAAAAAGGGGGAAAACCCTATTATTATATGTTGGTACTGGCAAAGGAGGTCTAATGATGTAGATGCTCACCCCGAGCCCTCAGTTACTTTGATAGTGACGTTGTCTCTGAGCTGTGACGCCTATTGGCGTCCTCTGGTCGAACACTAATTGGGTCGAGGCTCAAAAGAAAGCTGTCCCTTGGTGTGGACCAATCAGTTTCAAGGACAATGCATATATTATCACAGTGTGTTTGTGTTTGCATTTTGACTGCAAGTATTGTGATTAATGCAGACATGAATCCTTGTTAAAAGGTTTTAAGTTTTGTT